GCCATTAAGAATGGAAATACATAGTGGAAATATAGTGGGAAAAGATGCTGAGACCCCAGAAAGCCTGCAGAGAGGAGCAACAAAGATAATAAGGGATCTGGAGCAGAGGTGGTTTTCAAAGATTTTTACCACCGGTTCGCCCCACGCGTGTGCCTTCCGCACATGCGCCTGGCCTTCCACACATGCACTTTGCTCACGCACACGCCTTCCACGCATGCACCCAGCCTCAAAAATGTGGCTAAATAGGACAGCATAGCGCCGGGGCGATCTCTGAATTGGTACGAACCGGCTGAATACCACCACTAATCTGGAGGCAACAAAGATAATAAGCGCTCTGGAGGCTAAATCATACGAGGACTGGTTGAGGGAATTGGATCTGTCTAGCCTAGCAAAGAGAAGGGTTAGGGGTGTCATGATAACAGTCTTCCAATACCTGGGCTGCCAAAGGGAAGGGGAGGTCTATTCTCCATAGTAACTGAGGGCAGAACAAGAGGCAATGATTGGAAGCTCGTCAGAGGGAGATCCAATCTGGAAATAAAGAGGAATTTCCTGCAGTGACAACAGTTAATCAATGGGATAGCTATGGTTGCTCCATCACTGGAGGTTTTTAAGAGGAGATTGAACAACGATTTGACTGGCATGTTATAAGGTCTCCTGGTTTGGACAGGGGGTTGGGCTAGAAGACCTCTGAGGTGCCTTCCAGCCCTACGAGTCTATGAATGTTTGGACATTGAATGAATTGGGAGGAGGGAGATAAATGCCTATAAACTCAGTAGGACTTTGAGTAGGCTTAATCTGACAAGATGATTCTGTCTTCCTTCTCTAAGAAAGCCTCTTGATTTCAGAACCTCTTAAGACTTTCTCAATCTGTCAGAAAAGAAGAGGGGGCCAGGGGGCTGTAGCATTAGCATTTCCCAGTGGCTAAGATGCTGAGCTTGTCGATCAAAAGGTCAGCAGTTCAGCGGTTCGAATCCCTAGTGCCATGTAACAGGATGAGCACCCGTTATTTGTCCCAGCTTCTGCCAATTTAGTTTGAAAGCATGTAAAAAATGCAAGTAGAAAAATAGGGACCATCTTTGGTAGGAAGGTAACAGCGTTCCGTGCGCCTTTGGTGTTTAGTCATGCCGGCCACATGACCACGGAGACTTCTTCGGACAGCGCTGGCTCTTCTGGCTTTGAAACGGAGATGAGCACTGCCCCCTAGAGTTGGGAATGACTAACACATATGTGCGAGGGGAACCTTTACTTTTTATTTTTCCTTTTAAAAACCTGAATCCTCATCCTTTGCTCCAGGACTAAGCAGATTGTGCCATACCAGAACTTAATGCAAGTAATGTCAGAGCTCTCCTTCTGTAGTGCAAACTTTCCCACCAGCCTTAAAAAAAGACAATCCATGGCAGGAACTCTGGCTTTAAAAAGAAAAAAGAAAAAACTAGCCAGAATTATCAGATGAGCATTTTAGAAATGCATGGTTATCTGCTTAAATAGCATTCATCTTCAGGGTAACTGCCTGGCCTCTTTGTACAGCACTCACGGAGGCATCCGTGGTGTAGAAACAGGTTGTCACACAATCAGCACTTTTTCCACTGTAGCTGAGCTACTAGAGGTTTCTCCGTATTATCAGTTGCGTTGGCTTCATTTTTGGAAAAGTTATGAAAGCATCTTACTGCAGTCTTGATTTCCTCAGGTTTAATTCACATAATAAGGAATGTCACAGCAAAAAGGGCTCTCAGAAGGATTAGCAGGGTCTTTACTGAGACATGTCTCTTGGCTTATCAATATTCATACTACATGCTACAGCACTTAGCTTTATTTCTAAAGGAGCTAGAACATGATGTTTCTGAAATATTTAATCTAAGCTTGGATTAAAGGCCTCATGCAAACAAGCTGTAGACTTGCTGTAGACTTTTAAATGCAAGCCACGTGCTAGACTAGAGGGACAGAAAACAGATAAGAATTGTAGAGACTAATCATTTCATTACACCGAGTGTCAGTACACTCACATGCCTCTTAGTTGGCTTGCAAGGCAGTCTAGAGTAGCGATCCTAGCTTGTATACAGCATGCGAATACTATTAAAATGGGCATATTGCTGTATAGTACTGGTGACCTACTGACCAGTGCTGTTCTTTGGGGCAGCGCATGCCACAAATGTAAGGCTGGTAATCTACTTCGTGTTTTTTTTCAAAGTGTTATGTTTTTTTCAAAGGCCTGGAGACTAAAACCTACAAAGAACGGCTGCAGGATTTGGGTTTGGCTAGTCTAAAGAAAAGAAGAGTTAGGGGTGACATGATAGCAGTATTCCAGTATTTGAGGGGCTGCCACAAAGAAGAGGTCAAATTATTCTACAAAGCACCAGAGGGCAGGACAAGAAACAATGGTTGGAAACTAACCAGAGAGAGAAGCAACCTGGAATTAAGGAGAAACTTCCTAACAGTGAGGACAATTAACCAGTGGAACAGCTGGCCTTCAGAAATTGTGGGCACTCCGTCACCGGTTTTTAAGAAGAGACTAGATAGTCACTTATCTGAAATGGTATAGGTTCTGTTGCTTGAGCAGAGGGCTGGACTAGAAGGCCTCCAAGGTCTCTTCCAGCTCATTCTATTCTCAAGGTATTCTGAATGTATGTGAAAGCCTTGATTGACCAAACCTATAATGGATGAGAAATCAATATATCCATGGGCCTTTCCGGTTACTACTTCTTTTCTGTACCCAGGATAACATCCCAAAAGGAAATAATTTGATGCATCTGTACGTATGTATTTAACTGTTATCTTAGAGCATTTCAACTTTATTTATATTATATATTTATCCCATATATTTATCTCATCTCTTTTTAGATACAAAGGGAACAGAAGTTGACAAATTCCTGCAGCAACTTCATAACGACAATATGCTTTCTTCTATTTATGCAGGTAGCAGAGAGGTCACATCACCTTCTACATAAAAATATCTTTTTAAAAAAAGTTTTTTTAATTAAATAAACATTAAAAACATTGAACACCGTGTGACCATCCTGGTTTTGTCATTTCCATACATATTTTTACCATAGCAAATATAATTACTATTTATCATACATTGCTACTATGTTTTTTATAAACATATCCCTTGTCCTCATTTGTATATTTATCTAAATATTGTCCATTTTCAGTTCTACAGACCCTAAATCTTTTCTGCTCTGACTCCTTTTCTTCCTTTCCAACCATTGGCACAGTGCAGTACTGCAGGCTACTTCAGTTGACTGCTAGCTGCAGTTCAACAGTTCAAATCTCACCAGCTGAAGGTTGACTCAGCCTTCCATCCTTCCGAGGTGGGTAAAATGAGGACCCAGATTGTTGGGGGCAACAGGCTCTGTAAACTGCTTAGAGAGGGCTCTAAAAATATAATCATCTTGATAATCTTGTAAACAATAATATAAAATAAGCAGATGTCCTAAAGTTGTACTGTAGATCAATGTAGTTTAATATTTTCATCACCCTATACTATAGGGCGGAGAGAGGCTCTGGAGGCTGGGGACAGCAAAAAAGTCACTTCCTGTCCCACCGGGAGTTGGGAAATGGGCCTTTTTAGGCCTCCGGAGGGCCTCCGAGCGAGTGGGAAAGGCTGTTTTCGCCATCCCCAGATGCATAGAGGATCTGGAGCCAGGTGAGGAAAATAAAATGGGCCTTCCCCACCCACCCCCAGGCCCTCCAGAGGCAGGAAACAGCCTGTTTCCCTACTTCTGGTAGGCCCAGAAGGCCCGAAAAATCAGCTGGCCGGCACGTGCATGCATGCCAGAGCTGACCTAGTATGCCCACTGATATGGCTACGCATGCCACCTGTGGCACGCGTGCCATAGATTCGCCATCACGGCCCTATAGAAACAAATAGTAGAAGGGTTTTGCTTTGTTTCATTTAAATGAGTAGATATAGAAAATGGATTTATTTTCTCCCATCTCCTTTCTTCCTGCCTAATCTACATACTGATCCATGGGAATATAATACAGTGTGAACTGGCATCTACGGTATATCATACTACTTTCCAGAATCTGCCTCATTGGATTCAAGATTTTTTAAAAAGGAAGCAAGCATTTTGCAAACCAAGCACTGGTATAGTTTGACTAATGCAACTGGGGCCCCCATTAGTCCATAGGCATTTCCTCCCAAAAATACTATTTATTCATTCAATTTAAATCCCACAGGGCTCTTGACAGCTGACAATTTTGTGTACACAAATACCAATCATTGGAAACAAGAACCCACTTGGAATTCCCTAACAAAAAACATTTTATAGGAAATGGCTTAAAGCGGATCGATTATGGCATTCCTAATAGGATTGCTTAGCTTCTTGGGATGCAACCATATAGGAATTTTTGAATCATGTTGGAATCATGAATCCCTATGGACAGTGTGTAAATGTAATCAACCAATAAATATATTAATTTCAGTTTGTGAATCCTATTCAGCCAAGGATTTTCAAACTCAGTTAACTGGGGTATCTTTTTTATTTTAATGACGATTCCTCCTTTTCACAGCCTTTGGGGTGGGAGTTATTCATAGAATTGCCTATATTTTATGTAAATGTATGGTTACACTGTAAAAGAAAAGATAAATATGTCTCCCACACAAAGTCCAATAAGGAGGTCAACCACAGCCCTGATGCGGCCCTCAATGAAATTGAGTTTGATACCCCTGGGCTAGATGATTTTGAAAGACAAAGATGGTTCCCAAATAGGCAGCAAAGATTGGGAATCTGTTTTTTGAAGGGTTTAAACTTCTTTGACTGGAGATTTTTGCTTCTGTGGTATACTTGAATCCTAGAAAGGTTTATTTGTGGGAAACTTGCTTGGAATGAAAGCTTTAGCTCCTAAATTGCTGCGACATGTTTATTTTCATGTGCACTTTACTGGGTTCAATTCCTTTCAACTACATAAATATATTTTGGAATGTCCTTTTCATTCGTGGAAACCTTTCTACGCAGAAGCAGCAGGTTTGAGTTTAGCAGAAAAACCACTCCATGATAAACCATGATAAACTTTATTTTAATTTAACAAGTACTTATTCATTAAAAGACCAGGCAATGAGGTTCATCGCATTATATTTTGATAGTTAGGGAGACAACAGGCCGATTCTTAATTAAGCAAGGTAAAGACTTCAGCAGAAATCATAACAGCTTCACTATCTTGAGATTTTGAGGCTACTATTTGTTAATGCAAATTACAAAAGTTTTTTTTTCTTATAGCGCAAAATAAAAACACAAACTGCCTCACAAATCTGTATATGTTATTGTCAAGATAACACACCATAATATAGCAAGCTGAACAACTTTTCTGCAAAGGTCCCATAGAAACCATTTCCCCAAAGTTTTGTTATTGCCAAAATTGCTTGTGATACATCTCCTGTATCTCCAAAAAGCTTAGCAAAAAATATTAAGCCACAGGCTACAGAACGAGAGTTAATAATGTAATAATACAAATATGACCACTGGAGATACAGAACCAAACAACACACAATTTCAAAGCGAAAGCATGAGATTTGGCTATCTTCTGTTAAAACCAGGTGAAAATAATATGCTTCACTATGCTTCGATCCTACCCACTGACATTATCTCAAGAGCTGACTTGCCATAAGATAAAACATTATTTGGGCCTGATCTGAAAGAAGGCTTGTTTGTAATATAAGAAACAAAGGCTAAGAATCAACTTTTAGCCAAAGGACAGTATTGTGCCTGGATATTGTTTCTTTGTTTTTAAAAGAAAAAAATAAACTATGTAAAGAGATTCTTGAAGAGTCCCAGAGATAGTTCAAGATCAATTAGGTGATTCCAATATAATCATTAAGACTTCAATATTAATTAGAGTCACCTACTGTAACCACAATCTAAAGACATTTAGATATCAGCAAAGACACCACAGTGGATGCTATCCACACGGAATTTGGATAACAAGAGGCTGGATATATGCTGCCTTAGGATTTGTGGGTTTTTTTAAAAAAAATTACAAATATATGTCTAAATCTAAGTGTTGATTTGTTAAAAGAATGCTTCATTGATACTTCCTATGGGAGCACACACTCTCAAGAACACCACAAAAGCCAGGAAGCTCATTTTCATGAAGAGAAACATGCAACTATGGAAGATTCTGAGGGACAATTCTAGTACACACACATTCCCTTAAAGAAAGGTGTTACATTGCAGAGGAAACCACAGGTTCTCATGCCATTTTTTTTTCATCTTCTTACAGCCATGATCTCAATATAGATTGTCTTTCCTTCATGGAACTCTTCTGTTCTTATTTTTACTTTGTACCTTGTATCACTACTTAAGCCTTTTTTCCCATGTTACCTTAAGGAATGGATAATGCTCATTTTATTTTTTGCAGTGGTCCATTCCACTTCAGTAACTTCCAGAGCACCTTTTTCCTAATGCCGCCATAATTTAACTTTTAAAACATTTCTCAAAATCAAGTAATATGGCATAAAACACATACTTAGAAAACAAGTGGTGTCCTGAGACTGGGTCCTTTACTCGATCATAAACCTACAATTGAATCAGAATGCTAGTCAGACTGTCCTTTAATCTCAAATTATGTCCTGCAGAAATCTAAATTTGCCAAAACTGTAGTTTATTTATTTCTATCATATGGACACTTCCTTCCACTTTTTAGCAGAAGTATTTCTGAAAGCTGACAGCACCATAAGCCACTACATTCGTGTTATGGATTCTTCTAATGCCAATTAGAATACCTCTAATGAATGAGGATGCTTAGCAAAGTACTCAATGGCTTAGATATGCAATTCTCAGAACCATGTGCCACTAGGTGCCTCCCCTATCCCAGGATGAAAATGATCAGAAGTCTAAAACTGGGTTTCCTAAACCATTCGCTTCCAATTTCTGTGGATCGTCCCAGTCTACTGCTCATTTTTAAAAAAGAAAACAGAAGACATACTGAAGTTGAAATGCCAGCTGGGAAGCTTGCAGACACAAATTAAAGATGGCACCCTGAATGGTTTTGTACAATTAATGGAAATCCTTTAAATGATCTTCAATGCTTGGTTCCACAGCCAAATGTGATCAAAGGCTATGCTCTGTGAATAGCATGCAGGAAATTAGAGTAATCTAATTACCTCAAGCAGTGGCAAGCGGAACAAAGTCTAAAAGATTAGATGCAGACATTATACCTAATCTTCCACTAGAACATCATTGTGAAGATAACATCATTGTGAAGGTACATAGCCCTTCAAGGAACAGGAATGTCATCATCTTAATCAACTTTGATCAAAGAACTATGTTCAACATGGATAGATGGGTTAAGCAGATGACAATCTTTTTTAACCACTTCCTTTCGGCAAGCATGGCCAAGGATATTCATGGCCTAACTTGCCTGAAGAACATTGTCCAAAGCTATTTGACAGCTCTTAAGGAACGTATAATTAAGTACATAGTTTAAGTACATATAATTTTGAAGAACTGTTTTATCAGATGGCACAAAATGGCCTGTCCGACATATTCAGAGCATCTGAAAAGAGGGTAGCAAGGAAAAGAAATCCATGGAACAGGGTCTTAAAAAGGAGCTCCAGGAATGAAAATACTCTTTTTATTATCACTTTTCCTCCAAGCAGCACTAGCAAAGTACCACTTTCCCCTCTTTCCATGATGTTTGGAAGAAGAATGAAAAAAATTCATCGTCTCCCAGCCCAACCTTGTTTTCAGTCATCTGAAAAACAAGACCTTTAGAGCTCACTGTTCATACAGCCAAATGTGGTAGCAAATTCTATGCAGGTTAAGAGAACACCCCTGAAATTTTCACCCCATGGGAAGTGAGGAGTGCTCACCCCAAAGAGAAGGTAATCAAAGCTGTGAACAGTGCAGCCTATATAGAAGTTAACAACTGGGTCACTGAAAATGCATGAGTTTTATTTTGTGCATTTCTTATTCTATAGTAGAGCATGAGACGAAATGAAGGAAGCTTCTGTTCCAAGACGACCTTTATATACCTATATCCCATTATGGCTTAGACCTCAGAGTTATGAGGCAAACAGTAAGCCTGATAGATTCGTCTACTAAAAACCCTCTAGGCAAGTTTCCCCATTGAGTTTGCCAAGGATCTCTGTTAGTGGACTGAAATATTGATCAAATAACCCCAGAATTTTCCAAAAAGCAAGCTTAAAATTTAAAAACATTTTTGTAACTTAATTCAAAAGGAAAACCTGTGGAAAGACAACATCATAACATGTGGGTGCATATTTTCGTGAGGGCACCAAAGCCATTCTGCACAACCTGTTATGACTTCAGCTGGGAGAGTGAAATAGTGGCTCCATTAGAAAACACCCAGAATGCAGAATAGACAGCTTCCGCGAATTCTATTTTGTATTTATAAAGCGGGAAGTTTTTTTTCTCAGTGACACCAAAGAAAATAACAAAACCCCCATCATAATTTAGAAGGACACCAATCTTCATTGCTTTGTTGCTGGGCAGAGATGTGTCTTTATCATTGTGCCAAGCTGAGACTTTATTGTTGACCCATTCAATGCACCAGGAGCTATTATTGCGTCCTAGGCGGCTTTTCGGCCCGTTTCTTGGGATGCTACCATAACAGATGCCGACAGCACAGAAGTTGTTGTTGTCCAGGTCAACTTCCCAGTAATGGATTCCTTTCTTGAAACATTGGAAAGAAAGCACTTGGGAGAAGCTTAAAAATCGCTGAGGGTGCGGTTTGTAATCCTGTATCGTTTCCGTGACGGACATTTTGGTACATTTCTCCAGTAATACAATATTCTTATGAGCACTGTGGCGATCCAGAGTAAAGTGTGTAGCAACTGGGAATAAATACAATCAGAAGAGAAATCAGAAAACAGCAAGAAACCTGGAAAAGAGTGGTAGTCATGAACATATTGTTGCTAAAGTTTATAAATTGTTATTCAACTTGAATTTGGAGAATGAATATGTAAAGCACTGCATGATTCAGTGGGCAAGGAACTTTGGATATAATGTCATGCTTGAACAGTGGGAGAATATGTGGATGAAAGGTTTAAAATTTACAATAAATTAAAACTTAAAAGAATTTTTTTATAAGACGATGTATCACTGGTATTTAACACCAGATAAGTTGTCAAGAACGTACAAAGGTATTTCAGATGAATGTTGGAAACGTAAAAGTAAAGAAGGGACCTTTATCGCTTATGGTGGACATGTGAGACAAAGCAAAGAAATCATTGGAGTAGGATTCATATCTTAATACAGAAGATTCTCAAAGTGAATATGAAGATAAAACCAGAAACTTTTGTTTTGGGTTTATTCATCCTAAATAACTTAGTGACATCAAAAACATTTTCCCGTTCATGTCTAGCTCCAGATCATTTATCAACAAGATAAAAAGAAAGGATCTTGAGACCATTTCATTCATTTGAGAACTCTTATTATATTTCTGAAGCTTAAGTAGTTATGGATACATAAGAGGAGCTATCCACTAAAACCACAGTCATAATAAAGGGAGTCTTCGACCTATGACCATAATGGAGCCCAAACTTTCTGTTGCTAAGTGAAAAGTTGTTCAGTGAGTTTTGTCCCCCTTTACAATCTTTTTTGCCACAGCTGTTAAGTGAATCACTAGCTGCAGCTATTAAGTTAGTAATACGGTTGCTAAGTGAATCTGGTTTCCCCATTGATTTTGTTTATCAGAAAACTGCAAAAGGTGATCATGTGATTCTGGGACATTGCAATTGTTATAAATATGAGTTAATTGTCAAGCATCTGAATTTTGATCACATGACCATGGTGATGCTACGATGGTCTTAGTGTGAAAAATGGTCGTAAGTCACTTTTTTCAGTGCCTTGTAACTTTGAATGGTCACTAAATGAAATGTTGTAAATGAAGTAATCCCAAAGCAATGTCATTTTAAAAGTCCAATCAGCAGTGACTTCTCAAGTCAATGCCATCAATATAAGTTGACATTCAATGAACCTTTTAAATATTAGAAGAAAGGACTTATTACTATTTCTTCTGCAAATTATTCTTTTTCAACATAGTGTAGCCTTACTGATTTATTTAAAGAAATAGGCCAGCAGTCAGAAACATATGTTTTCTACGAAAACATGACTGGTGAGATTATAATGGTGTGCTAATTTTGGAGGGTATTTTTTGAGCTTATCAGTCTTAAAAGGTTAAAGCCTTAACCTTCCACCTGACCTTTAACCTTAACTGGTTAAAGTTTGGAGCAACCCACTATGAAGCTAGAGGCCGATCATTTTATATCCTCTATTTTATGCTGCGTGGTTTTGTTTTAGTAATGTTTTCTCAGAACGGATGTTAGCCATAATTATTAATATTACTGTTCCATCATTTCCAAAATTTACACCACACTAATTACTTACATTTGAGAAGCTCCTCTCTTGGTTTTGTTAAAAAAGCATCCAAAGTTGTTGTTTCACTCTTTGTCTCAGCTGCAGCTTTGTCTTTGCTGCAGCTTTGTGCTCTCCGCTTGGGACTTTCCGCTATAGTTACCAAACAAGATAAAAAGATACACCTTTTCAAACTCATTCAAACTTAATAAGCATATTGCATTGAAAAGAGAAGACTGACAAGTTTTATACTACAAGACATGCAAAAATTCGTACTAGTTGTTGACATATAGTTTTAGTTCACTGTTCCATATGTGGTTGACATTTAGTTTTGATCACATGCGATTTAATCCGGTGGGTAAACCCATCAGCAAACCAGAAGCAGCTCTAGACATGAGTTATTGTATATGTGCCTAACAGAGAATAAACTCCATTTTGTTTCCTAGTCTGCAAAAAAAAAAAAAAAAAAACAATCAGAGAGCACCAAGGGCCCCATGGTTCAGAACAATCTGTCCTCCATTTTGTCCCCCACTGTCATGTCAATTGGTGGAATAGTTTCTAATTCGAGCACCAAGGATCTCACAGTTTAATCCTGAGCAACAAACATCCTCTTCTATTGTTATTCTGAACCAGCCGCTGAATATAACCTACACTCAAGCTCCTTTCAGATCTGGTGGTCAATAGCATTTCAGGAGTGGAGGTCTCCTCCCTTCTGCTTCCATTTGCTCTGCATATCTCCATGGCCACAAAGTTGTGGTGAGAGATTTTGCATTTACCCATCAGACAATCCAAGATTTTAAACAGCTGGCAGTAGAGGACAGCCTTAGAATGGTGAAACGTACAAGACTCTAGCTTTCTAGAGCGGAGATGGCGCAGTGGTTAGAGTGCAGTACTGCAGGCTACTTCAGCTGACTGCTAGTTGCAGTTCAGCAGTTCAAATCTCACCTGGTTTAAGGTTGACTCAGCCTTCCATCCTTTCAAGGTCGGTAAAATGAGGACCCGGATTGTTGGGGGCAATATGCTGACTCTGTAAACTGCTTAGAGAGGGCTGTAAAGCACTATGAAGCAGTATATAAGTCTAAGTGCTATTGCTATTGCTATTTCTAAAGCTCGGAATTCTAAATTATGGATTTCTAGAAGAATCCTGTTTAAAGGAAAGCAGAGGTAGGGTTGCAATGATCATTATTAGAAGCCAGAACTATAGTGTATGAAAATTTCCTGCTAAAAAGTAGTAAACATACACAATGGTCCTAAGTGAAGTCACTTTTGCCTATTGTTCGTGACAACACAGCTAATTTTTCCAACAAGAATGCTTTTTAAAAGACTTCTTTTTAAAAGACTTTTTCTGTTGATCTCAACAATTCTATCTAACCTCAATTCAACTAAGTCTGCGAACTTAAGTTTTCTTGGCTTTAACATTCTCCTGGGAAGCTTGCAGTAAGCATTTACCATTATTAACTAGTTTGTTTCAGCATTAATCTCACTAGAACTCATTAGGCGCTGTGGTGATGCAGTAGTTAGAATGCAGTATTGCAGGCTAATTCTGCTGACTGCCAGCAGTTCGATCCTGACCGGCTCAAGGTTGACTCAGCCTTCCATCCTTTTGAGGCTGGTAAAATGAGGAGCCAGATTGTTGGGGGCAATAGGCTGACTCTGTAAACGGCTTAAGAGAGGGCTGTAGGGCACTGTGAAGCGGTATATAAGTCAAAGTGCCATTGCTATTGTTAGATCTCTTGCCCTGTGGAATGAAGGAGATTGAGGGGGAATACAAAAATATAACATTTTCTCTAGAAACTGGAGATCGTTTGCAAGAAACCAATAACTTAACATCCGTAAAGAACAGATGGTAAGAGAAATATTCATTAGCAGCCTTTACACCTAGGCCGCTAATAAATATTTGTGATTTTAAGAAGGCCTACGTAACCATTACTCCCTTAAAGTTTTAGAATGCTGTTTTGAGATGCACTGCATTTCCAAAAGCTGAGAATCCAAATACATCAGACTAAAACTTGCTACTGAAAATGTACGGAGTACATTAAATTGGTAGACACAACTGAAAGCGCAGAGGTAGCAAACGAACGCATCTAATTGTACAAAGAAAAAGTATCTGCATAGGGTTCAAGCCACAGGTGCAATTTTCTCATGATCAGACCACAGCACAATTATTTCTACTCCATGCCAATAAATGCCCAGTTGAATTTTTCTGAGATTTCAGCAGAGGCAGCTATTCCGCAAATTTTAATCACTGGAGTTCATTGGCAGGCAGAAAGTCACAAGTTTGGTTAAAAGACTGAACTTACAGCGCTTGGCAGGCCGACTTCTCTGTCCTGAAAAGAAAAAGATGTGTCCAATTTAGTTATTTGCGAACAAGACAAACAACTCTCTCCGAATGGGCAAGCAAGAGATCCTTTGGCTAGCTCTTATTAGGATTTATTGAAGTTTTAAAAAGCGTTACCAATTTGAACTTGATTATCCCAATAATTTGTTTTAGCTATGTGAAAATTACCACCACACCAGTAAATTTACTTAAATTTCAACATGATTACTGAAACAAAAAATCAAATGCTATATAAACGAAATGATTATTTGGAATGCATAAATAGTAGAAAGCAGAGATCCAATAATAAGCTAAGACTTTTGGAAAAATAGAGAGGCCAGAATCAAGTCAAAAGCCAGCTCAAGAGATTTTGCAACAAGGGGAAAAGAAGTTTTTTTTGGGAAAAAAGCAGTTTAGATTATCCTTAGTTATACCAGTGGCATCTACATCATTCCCTTGGAAAAGAAGAATGCCAGTCAATTTTGGCACATTTGCCACAAGTGCAAGCAGAGCCCAGTTTTATTCCAAGTTCATTTTTAGTTTTCTATGCAAGCTAGGATTTCTATGTAATCTTGAGACTTGTGAGGTAACACAATTATTACCTGCATCCCACAGACTCTGGATACCTATAGAATGAGCAAAGATTTGATATGAAATGAATTACAATATATTACAGCATGCGGAGTGATGTTAACAGGAAGTACTGTATGAAAAAAAATTAGGTGAAGAAAGCTATGAGGTGAGACAAATTGTGTATTAGGGAACATTAGCTGCAAAACATGGAGAAGAACAGAGAAACAAAGGACAGTTGCAAAAATACAATCAGCAATAGAGAGGATCAGTTAAGTTTAAGAGGAGGAAGAAAACACTTTGCTGAATCATGTAAGCAAAGTGTTTTGGAAAGAGATGAAAAGGACTGGAAAACAGCTTCTACCCAAGTGAATGGAATTAAAAATAAATGTGATAAAAATATTAGGGATGAAACAAACAAAGAGATCTGCATACAGCAAGGTGTGAAGGAATGATACTGAAATGTGTGTGTGTGTGTGTGTGTGTGTTAGAATTGGACAAATGTTGAAAAGGACATCAATTTGGTTTCTTTTGGCTTTAACAACATGTTCCATTTTGAATTACTTCGGATAGGTAAGTGGCCATATTAATTGATAAATATCAAAGGGTAAATAACTTGTGTGATAAAACATATGTGTCAGGTTACAATGAAGTGATCCAAAATCCTAACTTAGCTTGACTGCTTTTGGGAGAGTTGCGGATAGTTTAGACCTGGAGTGTCAAACTTGCGACAACACATTGCCGTCACATGATGTTTCTTGACATTTTTCCCATCTGCAGAGCTGGGGTGGGTTTGGCCTATGCGTGACACATCTGGCCCATGGGCTGTGAGTTTGACACCCCGGTCTAGACTGTCTCATAGGATTGTGGAGAAGAATCAAGGGATGGAGGATTATCATAAGTAACAAAATGCCCAGTACTCATCACTAGCTGCTGTTTTATCTCATGCAATGGTTGTAATGATACATAAAGTTCCAACTCTTCCAACATTTAATGGACCAATGAGGGAAGCTCCTTCTGTCCTTCTCTTCCTTACGAGAAAGCTAAAGAACAGCGTCCTTCAGACAGAAAACTAAATGCTCCACCAGAGACTCCTACCACCTGCTCTGAACTTAAAAACTCCACCATGTGCAAAGAATATCTATCACTATGATTTGCTCTAAATACTCACTAGTTTTTCCTGCAGCTGCTGGGCATATCTCTTCCACCATGGGCGTCTTCAATGGGAGTACAAAAGTGCCAGGATTACCTAAAGGAACATAAACAAAGACATAAGCCAGGAATCTTGTCAAAAGGATTCCTCTGAGGAGGCAGGTAAGAAGGAAACAAGGAACAAAGGAGAAATGTTGCCAGAAGCAGAGGACTGCTGAGCACAAGGTAATTCCATCAATCTCATTACTGGAGTTGTGGATCAACAAACCAAGGTATTTGGGGGATAGAAGGGGTCCTCTATCTAGTTTGTGGCAGCTTAGTTGAGAAGGATGTGGTAAATGGGGATGACTGAGTATGAGAGTGAGAAAATGTACACGGCAACCAATAAAATTCTCTCCGCACTTTAAATTCAGTGGGTCTCTGTGAATTCCAGAACTTGACGTTCTGGACGTTCTGTGAATTCCAGAACTTGACGTTCCTCAGGATTTCACTCATTTGAAAGTGATCCTTGTGTTATTATTTCTCTGCTCTACTAGACCAGGTGTGCCTTGTATGCCCGAGCAGGCCCTATCTGGAAAACATAGGTAGAGAGTTAGGGGGGCTTACAAGATCTCAACAAAGTGTATGTGTGCAAACACCTCGAAAGAGTCTGACAGAGAATCTCTCCCCCTTTGCAGGAACTTCTTCCTCTATAGCTCTCAGCCCTGAAGCCATTTTCCCTGAAGGCAGCACCTTCAGGGCTGCCACAGTAGAGATTGAGTCGAGCTGTGGGAATGGGAGGGGGGAGGTAGAGACAACTGGGGAATTGTAGCCAAAATAACATTCTTTCCTCTGAGAACCAAGGACTTTCCCACCAGGTGCAAGCAGGTGGGATCTGTGACCAACTGACCCTTGGACTGTGACCTGATTGGACCATGTGATGGATTGCATGGGCAGGGGAAAGAAAACTTTACTTTTAACTGGGGGGGAGGGAACCCTAGGGGGGAGGGGCTTTCCCAGACGTGCCAATATGACATGCCTAATAAGTCTATACTTTGAGGAATATGCCTCCCTGGAGTTTTGATTCCGTTGGATGTGTTACTTGGAATCCTGACACTATCCTCTTTAAAGGTAAAGGTTTCCCTGTCCAGTGGTCTCTGACTCTAGGAGGCAAGCTAATGTATGTTTCCTCACCGAGGGAGCCAGCGTTGTCCAAAGACATTTCTGTGGTCATGTGGCCAAGCATGACTCTACGCAGAGGTGCAAAGAACACTGTTACTTTCCCATGAAAGTGGTACCTATTTATCTACTCACATTTGCATGCTTTTAAACTGCTAAGTGGGCAGGAGCTGGGGCAAGTAATAGGAGCTCACGCCCATGACATGGCGCTAGGATCTCGAACCCGGGCTGTCAGCTTTCCATCTGACAAGCTCACATCTTTAACCACTGGGTCATCACACCCCTTAGAGCCCTTTTAGAAAAGCATAAATCATCTTATACAGCACCCCAAATGGCTCTCTCCCTCCCTCCCTCTCCCCCTCCCCTTCTGTTGAACAGCATTTGCGAGACTGAAAAAAACCTGCAAGTGACGACAGGTAGCAGAACCAAAGAAGTGTACAGTGTAACTTTGCTTTCATAAGACCACTTAATATGTCTGCAGAGAAACGTACAGGTAGTCCTCGACTTACAATCACAATTGATCCCAAAATTTCTGTGGTTAAGCAAGACATTTGCTAAGTAAATTTTGCCCCATTTTATGACATTTCTTGCCACAGCTGTTACGTGAACTCAGCAGTTGCTAAGTTGTTAACAGGGCTGTGAAGTAAACGTGGCTTCCCCATTGATTTTGCTTGTCAGAAAGTCGGAAAAGGTGATCACATGACCTTGAGACACAGCAATGATCATCAGTATGAGACAGTTGTCAAGCATCCGAATTTTGATCACGTGACCATAGGGATGCCACAAAGGTCTTAAGTGTGAAAAACGATCATAAGTCCCTTTTTTCCAGTGCCGTTGTAACTTTGAACGGTCACTAAACGAACTGTTGTAAGTTGAGGACTACCTGTATTGGCTCTAGTAAAGACAGTTGTACTTGTTAAACTGCCTTTATAGGAGACAATACAGGTAGTCCTCAACTTACAACAGAGTGTGTGTGTGTGTGTGTGTGGTCTCACTTACTAGATTTAAATTCTCTTGGTTGTAATATGGGAGTTTCTGATTTCGGTTTCCACTGTGGCCCTTCTGAAGGAAAAAAAGATAAATGAGGTGAATATAAGTAAACCAAAAAAATCATGGTAGGGTCAGCATGGAATTGTCCTGTTCCAATACTTTAAACAGGTTTATGGGTAACCTTTGGGATTCTTCTGACTTATCTGGGACAAAAGAATTCCTTTTATGCACAGAGGAAACAAAGCCCCAAAAGGGCTCCCCTCCTTCTGGGCAACAGAGACTGAATGATGACTTCTGTCAATTCCCCCCTTCCTCCAACATCCCCCATGCAATCCCAGAAAGCATCTAGATTCTTCTGGAGCAAAATGTTCAACTCTTTACTTTCACTCCACCCATGACTGTCTCTAACTATGGTCACCCACCTGCATCTTCCTTAGCTGACATTTGTCTATGGAGATTCTCTCAGTCGTCCAGGTCGTGGTTGTCCCAAAGGTGCTTTTTCAAAAGGCAACTGGACTTTCTGGTTTTTCCTCGAGGATGTCTCACTTCTCATCTAAGAAGCTTCCTCAGTCAGAACTGAAGAAGCTTCTTGGATGAGAAGCAAAACGTCTTCAAGGCAAAACAGAATCTTTTGAAAAAGCACTTTTCGGATAGCGGACATTTCTTTCATTTCTTTCCTCATTTAATGGAACTAAGCTTTATTTATAGTCTCTTTAGTTAAGTTGAGATCTCATCCTGAGGTTGGTTTGTTTATTCTTGTCAGAAGCAACACAATTAAAATAAGGCATACTCTATGATATAAAATTCAAAATATAAAGTACAAGATTAAAATATGTAGAGGTTAAACAGATTTCGCCCATCAACTGGCAACATTATTCTGAAGTTTATGGCGGTGCACACAACAGACCCATCTCCAAATTTTATCTCTACTACTGCTACTCTTGGTACTCCAGAGGGGAGGGAAGGATTTCATTGCACTACTGGGCTGGCTGGTACTGTAGCCTGGGAGCTTTTTACTCCAATGGATAAAACTAACATTTGCAGTGTGTCTAAAGTTACATGGGGGCGGGGTGTGTGTGTGTCCAGAACCACATTCATTGATGACGTTAAGATGGTATGAAGTAAAGAGGTATTTTTCAGAACTACTCTGCACCATGTTTGTGTGCTCACCCCACACACTCCTTCTCCCCATGTGACATTTTTCACACTTATGACCATTGCAGCATCCCCATGGTCATGTGATTTACATTCAGATGCTTGGTTCATAACTGGTTCATACTTATGACGGTTGCAGTGTCCCAGGGTCATATGATCCCCTTTTGTGACCTTCTGACAAGCAAAGTCAACGGGGAAGCCAGATTCACTTAACAACCGTGTGACTAATTTAACAACGGCAGTGATTCACTTCACAAATGTGGCCATAAAATGGGGCAAAACTCATTTAACCAATTTCTCACTTAGCAACATCAATTTTGGGCTCAATTGTGTTCGTAAGTTGAGGACTACCTGTAGAGTTAAGTATTGTAGGACAGGGGTGTCAAACTTGCGGCATCATCAAAGTTTCTGTTGCTGAGTGAGATGTATTTTAAGCGAGTTTTGCCCCGTTTTACGACCTTTCTTGCCAGTTGTTAAGTGAGTCACTGAAGTTGTTAAGTTAGTAACATGGTCTTTAAATGAATCAGGCTTTCCCATTGACTTTGCTTGTCAGAAGATCACAAAAGGTAATCACGTGACCCTGGGACACTGCAACCGTCATAAATATGAGCCAGTTGCCAAGCATCTGAATTTTGATCACTTAAGCATGGGGATGCTGCAACAGTCGTGTGAAAAACGGTCATAAGTCACTTTTTTCAATGCCGTTGTAACTCTGAATGGTCACTAAACGAACTGCTGTAAGTCAAGGACTACCTGTACCATCCCACAAACCTTATTAACTAAGGGCAGTTAGTTTTCAACACTTCCATAGGTTAGCAACACAGCTAGAATAATATATTTAAACCACATGTGAATTTTAAAAAAATCCCAGTAAATCAATGAATAAATAAAAGCACCTTTTATTTTCTCTTCCTGAGTTATAGCCAAAGATCGTTTTGTCATTTCTTTGAGGTGACAGGCTTTCTGATAAACAGCGCCTAGCACGTTTTGATCCAACTCTATTTTGGGAATAAATACATCGCTGAAGGATATCTGTCGCAGTTTTCTTGCTCTCTGAAATAAAGCATTAAGATCTTGCGATAATTCCAAACAAAAAACAGCTCTACTTCCTTCCACAGTGCTTGACACATTATATAGTGGACTATTTATTAAATGACTAAAACGTACATCCTGCATTTTCTTTTTTTAAAAAAAAAAAAGACCCCAAGAGGGGAAAGGTATGCCCTTCTCAATTGTCAGAATGTATTAATTATAGGAATTGAAGACAACAATATCCAGGGAGGGCAGGTTAAACTAGGACTGTAACCATCTTTATTCTTAGTCTAAAGACCCTAAAACAACCACCCCCCACTCTGTGCAATTTTCTGGGCAACTTTCTAAATTATCAGCAACAGGGAATTCTGGAAGTTCAACACATACATCTATAGCAGAGGTGGGCAACTATGGCCCTTTTATGACTTGTGGACTTCAATTCCCAGAATTCCTGAGCTAACATGGCTGGGTCAGAAATTCTGGGAGTTGAAGTCCACAAGTCATAAAAGGGCCATAGTTGCCCACCCCTTATCTATAGGACAAGCAGCTCAGGAAAGATTTCACTGGAGAAAGGGCCTCCCTAATTGGAGAAATTAGCAAGTCCTTTAATCACTGCTTCTCCCGACTGAAAATTACCTTTAAAAATGTAATGTCATCCATCTCTGCCAAGGTCACTTCAATTTCATCTCGCTCCTTCTGGATTTCATTCTTCTTCTTACCCAGGACTGTATGGACAAATTCACATTTATCCAGGACTTTTTTTTCTTCTGTTTTGATTTTCTTCCAACAATTATTTTCTTCTTCATGAATTAAAGCTACCATTTCTAGGAATTCTGATTTCAGCAAATCCAACTTCCGACAAGTGGTATTCTGAAGGGACAATATCATCAAAATTAAAAAAAAATGATTTGGAAATGAAGTAATTCCATATTACTTATTAGGAGGCTGGAAAATGGAGAAAAAGTTGGGAGACCTCTGGAGGAAGAAATGGTGGACTGAACATGAAGCTGACAACCACAACTAAGAATGAACAGCTGGTGAACAGCTGCCCAGTGTCACCTGACAGTGAAATGGGTGGCATATAAATATAATAAATAAATAAAAATAAAATAAATCAGCTCGAGGAACTCCTCCAGACAAAGAGACAGTGGGAGATCGCCCAATATTGCTTCCGTTTCTCCTCTTGAGGAGACCACAAGGCAGCAATCTTCTATAAGTTTTGAGCACAGGGAGATGAGGGAATAGCCATCTTGCTCAAACTATAGTTAGCATCTTAAAAAGGATACCAAGTTCACATACAGGTAATCCTCGAGCTACGAATGTAATAGAGACTGCCAATTACATTCGTAACCCAAGGGTTTATTAATTGGATCATGTTAAATGAACGTGATCCCTCCCTGCCTTACCCAATGCATTTGCTAATCGAATGTGCAGATTGTTAAGTGCACATGAGGTATCTCAGGGTGGGAAAGCATAGCAGGGCCAGTGCCTATTAGGTCCCTCTGTGTGTATGGTGGTGGGGGATAGGCAGGGGGAATGTTGCAGTTTCTCTGCAGTCGGTCATAAGAGTGAACTACTATCGTGGTGCTGCAAGATTTGTAACTTCGGGATTGTGTTGTAAGGACTTGAGTCGTAACTTTGAACAGTTGCTAAGTGAACTGTCATAATGGGAGGATTACCTGTACTTCCTTTTCTAATCACATTTAGAAATTGCTTGTTAGCTACTTTTCAGCTATTAGAAATTTTGAATTGACGAGTCTGAAAACATGGGCAATTCTGTTTCTAATCCTTAAGTAAAGCAAATTTTAACTACAAGAAAATAAACTTTTATAAAATTGTTAACAAATGTTTCACTTAGCAACAGAAATTTTGGGCTCAATTGTGGCTGTAAGCTGAGGACTACTGTAATGTGTACATGAAATCATAATTCAAAGGAGGCATTTTTTATAGTACAACTCAGTCTTAAAATATTTTGAAAGAAGTGTAACTTCATTTTTTTCCTTATTTGAATCCCAGCTACCTCATATATTATAAAACTCAAGTAAATGGTGACAGCAAAAGGCAATCTTTGAAATAGCAAAGCCCTTTGACACAATTCCCCCTCCCCCCCCTCTCTCTCACACACACACACAGTGTCACTAAACACAATGCATAACTCCAAGGTGGACCTCTATATAGTGAAACTGGGACAACCCTCTTACATTACCACGTCCTACTTGCAAAGAGAAGTGAACTTCCATTTAAAAATAATTCTTTCCTTACACTGAGTTGCTTTTGCTGCGTTCGTACTTGTTCCATGGACTTTGCAGCCTTGTCATTCAAGTCACGGAGTTCTGTTAATCTCTTCCTCAGCTGTAACTGTAAGAGAACAAAAAAAATATTCTTTAGATTAAAAACAACATTTGGAACCAGCTGCTACATAGCAGCATGCCAGCTACTATGGTAAGAAAACAAAACCACTGATAGGAGATAATAGTTTTACTTCAGGATTCTGATTAAAAGGACACATCTGCAGTTACATCTTCAAAAAATTATTTTTTTAAAAAAAATTGGGTTTTTAATGTTGTGCAGAGTGGAAAAAAATGGTGGACCAAAGATGGAGCTGACAACTATGTAGATAAATATAGCTTCAATCTGGCCAAAGCCGATACACACAAAAAAAATCAGAATGAAATAAAATAACGACTCAACATCAACAGTGTAAACATTACTGTAAAAGTATTTTTCTTAATGTAAAAGAAGCTGTTACCAATTCAGCTTCAGGTTTTTAAAGTTTAACCCAATTACCTCTTTTTGTAATCTTGGATGTCAACCCTCCCTCCCCCCAAATCCAAACCCCCATTATTTTACACAAGCATCAATGTTATATTATGGTTGCCAGGAGGATCAGCCAGGTGTTTGGACTGGAGTTGGCATTTTTACTCACCTACCGAGTCCTTCCCAAGGACCTGGGATAGGCAGGTTGTTTGATGGTGTTAAAGGTATCGTTACTATTTATTTCAGCAACAATAGCCCCATACTGGATCCTTGACTCATCAATAAGCAATCACAAATTGCTCCGTTACCTTGGTAATTGCCCAAATTGCCCTTGGTGTGCCCAAATTACCCTCTTGGTGATCATCACCCCCAGTTTAAGAACCAGCGCTGTGGAAGCAAATTCTAATATAGACCTACTGAAGGTAGATAGAATAGGTTTACAGGCCAGTCAAACTGACGGCCCACGAGCTGGATACGTCACTGGCAGGCCACTCCCATCCCAGCTCTGCAAAGGCAAAAAACTCACGATACGTCACGATCCGCCCTGTGACGCAATTGAGTTTGAAACCCGTGGAATAGAATAGTAGAATAGGCTGAACCCGATTGGATGGAAGAAATAAGTAACAGGATGCGATTGGCCAATTGCTACTATCTGGCACGTTCCACTTGTTTGCTAATTGGTCCTGGGATCAGGCTAATCTCATTTTGGTATCCTACATCTAAAAGCCATTCCCTAATCCTTTTTGTAACCTGAGGACATTCTCCAAGGGATGTAAAACTAGCTACCACACATGATAAATGTTTACCTGTAAACTGCCTGAGGCCATAAAAACTAATATTAGATGAAAGGAATTTGAGGAAAGGCATTAAATATTAGCTACAGGGTTTGTGCCTCAATCTCCAGCTGTCCAATCTAAAGACAGAGAGGATTGTACTGGATGTACAGAGGTAGGTACCTGAATCAACCTCCTTATAAATTTACTTTACACTATTTGCAATGGCTTGTATTTGCACAGGTGTGAGTCTTAGGGCAAATGAACTAGTGATCTGGCTGCAACTAATTTCAAGACTGCAGAAATGCATTATCCGCCTTTAAAACTTATGAAAGCATTTCTTTGGGCCTGTGAAATTATAAAAGCCAATAAATTTTTTTTTAATCCCATATCCTGGAATACTACACTTGGACATCATCTCCTATGCATTTATTATACATCCCAAGTTTGTAGTGCTTTTTCTTCTGTTTTGTGTGGCAAAGATCATTATTTTGATTTTCTGAAAACTGATTACTAAGTGGGTGTTGGGTGAATCATCAAAATGCAGCAAAAGTTTGACATTCAGAGTGGATCTTTTGGAAGAATGGAAATTTGGGTCAGTGAGCTTTTTTACAAGCTAGTTCAACTAAGGCTTGACTAGTAAAGGTGCTTGTATGCACCTTTATGTCTGACACTCTTTGACAGAGTGCGTACAGGTGACTATTTTGAGACAACCCAGGAGCAAAATACAGTAAACAGAGGTTTGTCTTTCAAACAGTGGTTTATCTACAAAGAATATATACATACACGTACTAGGCAAAGTCAGGCAATCAATATCAACTATACAGGGGCTCTCTTATAAAACAGCTTCTTAAAGTGATAACCCTGCTGACTCATTCTCATTGCATCATCATTTCAGTATTACAGCCTTACAGCAGCTATTCAGCTATAAAATCATTACCTTAACACTCTTGTGTACAGAGATTTGCCTGAAACTGAACTTTGTGAATTATATCTTATTCCAAGTCAAGATTTCAAAAGTTTTTCACCTGAGTTTTTCCCAACAGAGGGTTTTCAAAATGGAGTTCAATGCCTATTTTAAATCAACAAAAGCAGCCTATGGGTAAGATTCTAGGCTTATTACTATACATTGTATCTCAGTCAAAGGACTAACATGATTTGGTACAGGGCCCCAATCTAAGGCCTGTATATTCCAGGCACAAAATAGTTATTTTCCCCATCCATTCTTAAAGCTTCCATTCTAAGGCCAGAGCATAAAGCTTGCTAAACTATGCTCAGTAGACTTATTAATTCATTTATTTCAATGTATTAGCTCCGCTGGACTCCAAACTAATTAGACAATAGAATCAAGTCTTTCCCCGTTTAAAAATGGGAACAATTACATCTATGGCTCAACCTAGCAATATGTTTCAATTTTGTAGATAAAAGTGGAAGCTGAAACAGGACCCCACTAGTCAATGCTTATTGGACCAGTGCCCCTCCTGGTTGGTACTGGCTTCCCGGGAGGTGACACGAGGCTGGCTCCAGAAGATTGTTAACGCTTCTTTGAGTGAGGGGGTCCTGCCGGCCGCTTTGAAAGAAGCAGTTGTGAGGATCCTCCTCAAGAAGCCCTCTCTGGATCCGGCTGTTTTGGCTAACTATCGTCCAGTCTCCAACCTTCGCTTTGTTGCGAAGGTTGTTGAGAGTGTGGTAGCGCAACAGCTTCCCCGGTACCTGGATGAAGCTGTCTATCTAGACCCGCTCCAGTCCGGCTTCCGGCCTAGGCACAGCACGGAAACGGCATTGGTCGCGTTGGTGGATGATCTCTGGAGGGCTCGGGATAGGGGTTGCTCCTCTATCCTGGTCCTGTTAAACCTCTCAGCGGCTTTTGATACCATCGACCATGGTATCATGTTGCACCGGTTGGCGGGGTTGGGGGGCACCGTTCTGCGGTGGTTCTCCTCCTACCTCTCTGACCGGTCGCAATCTGTGTTGACAGGGGGGCAGCGGTCGACCCTGAGAGACCTTGCTTGTGGGGTGCCACAAGGGTTGGTCCTCTTGCCCCTTCTGTTCAACATTTATGTAAAGCTGCCGGGTGAGATCATCCGTGGCTTCGGGGTGGAGTTCCATCAGTACGCTGATGACACCCAGCTGTACATCTCCACCCCAGGCCACCCCAACGATGCCCCTGAAGTGATGTCCCCGTGCCTGGAGGCCATGCGGGCCTGAATGGGGAGAAACAGGCTCCGACTCAACCCCTCCAAGACCGAGTGGCTGTGGCTTCCGGCGTCCCGATATAGCCAGCTGATGCCATCGCTGGCTATTGGGAGCGAATCACTCGCCCCCACGGAGAGGGCTCGTAATTTGGGCGTCCTCCTGGACGCACGGCTGTCTTTAGAAGATCATTTGACAGCCGTGGCCAGGGGGGCTTTTTATCAGGTCCGCCTGATACACCAGTTACGCCCCTTTCTAGATCGGGACTCCCTACGCACAGTCACTCAGGCACTCATCACTTCCCGCCTGGACTACTGCAACACTCTCTACATGGGGCTCCCCCTGGGGTGCACCCGGAGGCTCCAGCTCGTCCAGAACGTGGCCGCGCGGGGGATTATGGGGGCGACGAGGCGCTCCCATGTGACACCTCTCCTGCGTGAGCTACACTGGCTCCCGGTGGTCTTCCGGGTGCGCTTCAAGGTGTTGGTGACCACCTTTAAAGCGCTCCATGGCTTAGGGCCGGGGTACTTACGAGACCGCCTTCTGCCACCAATAGCCTCCCACCGGCCAGTACGCTCGCACAGAGTGGGCCTCCTCAGGGTGCCATCCGCCAGACAATGTCGGCTGGTGACCTCCAGGGGGAGAGCCTTCTCTGTGGCGGCGCCCACCCTCTGGAACAACCTCCCCCCAGAGATACGTACAATAACAGACCTCCGGATTTTTCGTCGGGCCCTGAAAACCCATTTATTTCAACTAGCTGGGCTGGCTTGAGTTAAATTTTAAATTGATTTTAAATTGGGTTGTTTTAATTTACGGCCAAAATATTTAATTATTTTAAACTGTTTTTAAATTTTGTATGTTCTGTTTTTTACTTTGGCTGTTCACCGCCCTGAGTCCTATTTGGAGAAGGGCGGTATAGAAATAGGAACAAATAAATAAATAAATAAATGCTGAACTTCAACATTTCTGGCAGACTGTGACCACTGTCAAAAGCCCTAATCTTACATCAAGTGAGAAATTTACTCGCTTTGCCACGAAAAAAACTGGTTTGATAAGTGGGCTGAACTGTCATTTATGTACCTGATATTACAGGCAGTCCTCAACTTATTATTTGTTCGGTGACTGTTTGAAGTTACCACGGCACTGAAAAAAGTGACTTATGAGTTACGCAATCAGATTGCAGACGCATGTCAACCAGCATGTTATTTATAATGGTTGAAGCTTCCTAGGGTCACCTGATTGCCATTTGTGACCTTCCACGCTGGCTTCCGACATGCCACGTCAATGCAGGAAGTCAGATTCACTTAACTGCACTGAAGGTCGTAAAATCAGGCACAACTCATTAACAAACCCCTTGCTTAACAACAGAAATTCTACCCCCATCAAGGATTACCTGTATATGCTAGAATAAAGATGATCTTTTGGTTTTATCTTCTAGAGACAAGATTCCCCCATTTTATATAGGCCCCTGTCTTTTTATTGTCAACTGAGATTTATACCCTCTTAAACTCTAATTATCCTAGATATGGATGTTTGCAGAGCATAAGCATGGTACTGCTTATACTAATTGACTAAATCTTCCTTGGCAGCCATCTTTGAACTGAATTATTTCAGTAGTATGATGTTCCTGGATACTTTGGACAAGATGAGTAATCATCTGATAAATGATTACTCCTTTGTTGCTATTTTGGAACAATGTCCTCACACTTCAAGCAGACTTGGCACTTTGGGGGGAAAATGTTCACATAGAATAGAATAGAATAGAATAGAATAGAATAGAATAGAATAGAATAGAATAGAATAGAATAGAATAGAATAGAATAGAATAGAATAGAATAAAATAGAATAGAATAGAATAGAACAGAACAGAATAGAACAGAACAGAATTCTTTATTGGCCAAGTGTAATTGGACACACAAGGAATTTGTCTTTGGTGTATATGCTCTCAGTGTACAGAAGGAGAATAAAATACATTCATCGAGAATAAAAAGATACACATAGTGATAATCAAGGCTACTAATAAGTTATCAAATCATACTAGGAAACAAATAAAAACAATATAATTGAAAGTTACAAGCAAGATGGTTATAGTAATAAGTGGGAAGAGATAGATACTAGAAAGGAAGAGAAGAATGATAGTAATACAGTCTTTGTAAATTATTTGACATTGTTGTGGGAATTAGTTGTTAAGTAGAGTGATGGCATTCAGGAAAAAACTGTCCTTGTGTCTAGTTGTTTTGGTGTGCAGTGCCCTATACCATCTTTTGAAAGTAGAAGTTTAAACAATTTATGTCCAAGATGTGAGGGGTCTGTAGATATTTTCATAGCCCTCTTTTTGACTTAATACATAAGTCCCTTGGCTCAGCCTCTATGGCTGGAAAATATATATCCACAGGTCTCACCGGTGAAAAGAGATCCATGGATATACAGAGAACTCTGTTCTACTCTACCCTGCAGGCCGATTGTGAAAGAACCGAAACAGACTTCAAAGGTCAACTGGACAATTCTCCACTGATGAAGAAATCCACTGCTATCATTGGGGCTTGCCTTTGAATTCCTGCCCATTGTAAATAAACTGATCAGATTGCAAAGGAAAGCTCACATGCTGAGCATTCTAAAGCATAGTTCTCAACATAAAACAAGACCTATGAAGGCATGATAGCAGTGTTCCAATATTTGAGGGGCTACCACAAAGGGGGGGGGGGGCAACCTATTTTCCAAAGCACCAGAAGGCAGGACAAGAAGCAATGGATGGAAACTAACCAAGGAGAGAAGCAACCTACAACTAAGGAGAAACTTCCTGACAGTGAGGACAATTAACCAGTGGAACAGCTGGCCTTCAGAAGCTGTGGGTTCTTCATCCCTGGAGGCTTTTAGAGAGACTGGACAGCCCTTTGTCTGAAATGGTATAGGGTCTCCTGCATGAGCAGGGGGTTGGACTAGAAGACCTCCAAGGTCCCTTCCACCTCCAAGGTCCCTTTCAACTCTGTTATTCTGTTATCTTTATAAATTCAAGAAACACTTAGCAATAGAAGCTGCGGCAAAAGCATTTGCTCTCAATTTATACAAAACACAGCACAAAATTGCTTCTCAGCCTGACATACGTGTAACATAGTCACTTTCTTCCCCTGTACATATTGATCTATATTTCATAACTGGCTGAAAGGGTCAAAGGCTAAGGTTTTCTATAGAGAGATGGAGTTTTTGTCATATTCATCTTTTCTATAAGATTCCTACAGCTGAACAAGAAAACACAAACCTCCCCTACACCCAGGTTTTCTTTTCCAAACTTAAAAATGGGTTTTACATTAACTTTGAAACATTCTATGTTGATTTAAAGTCACTGAGAATTTTTGTGAACACCTTGGGAAAAAATACAAAGCATTAACAACTTCCATGAAATCTACACATCTAAGATTTGCATTGGAAAAAAGGTAATGCTCAGAATAGAACTCAGACTTGCTACAAAAGACTAAAATAGCTATACTGATAAAAAAATAATTAAAAGTCAGAAAAGTTTCCTAAAATACACAGATTCTGTTCTCCATTGCAAACTAAGCTTACCTGTTATTATCCTGTTGACATTTGCCAGCTGTGGAGGAAGGTTCTTTCTGCCTCAAGCAGCCAGTTTCAGCAAGCCTTCTTACCTGTCTCTTGGGTCTACATCCTTGCTACCAATGGCTACCAGGTACATGGTTAAATGCAAGATAGCTCTCCATATACCTCTGCCACATCTATACACAGAACACATATCCTAACCACAGTTTTACTGAACAGTATTGGTTGAGTGGACACATAACGCACAAGGCCAAATAAACCATCTTTGGCTTTGGCTAACTGGCAAGAGCCAGTCTGGTGTAGTAGTTAAGGCATCAGGCTAAAAACCAGGAGGTGGTGAGTTCTAGAATCCTCCTAGGCAAATAGCCAGTTATTTACTCTCAGCCCTAGGAAGGAGGCAAGGGCAAACCACTTCTTTAAAAAACCCTTCCCAAGTTGTCCAGGTAACTTCCAGGAATCAAACCTATTTCTCACAAATGAAGGAAAATTTACATGTCCCAGGATAATGCTGCAGGATCCGATCCAAGGTGGTCTCCAAGACCAGAGGTTTAGTCTTCCAAGCTTTCTGACTTGCGCTGGAGCCCATCCTCCGGGAACACTTTCTGGTAGAGAGACATTCCCTGAGGATGGGCTCCAACACGAGTCTGAAAGCTCAGTGTTGGAGCCCATCCCAGTGTGGCCCAGTGACCAACCCAAATTGGATCCTGGAAAACTATTTCTTTAGATCAGGGATGGGCAATTAATTTTCCCAAGGGGCCACATGAGAAACTGGGACTGTTGTTGAACCAATAGGGGTGGCGCCTTCTTGGGCCAGACAGGGACAGCCAAAGGGCCAGATGTGGCCCATGGGCCACAGAATGCCCAGGTCTGCTTTAGCTTTATATCCCACTTTTTCTTAAAGACATACCCAGCACTCACTCCCTTCTCCATTTTTCTCTCCCAGCAACCACCCTGTGGGGTAGGTCTTACTGATAAGAAATCAATAGCTCAACGTTACACTAGAAGCGTTCAGGGCTGAGATCGATGTCCCAAAGCTGTTTTTTCCAAAGGTAACTGAACTGAACAGTTACCTTTTGAAAAAGCAGTTACCTTTGGACAACCATGATCTGGATAACTAGAATCTCCACAGACATTTGGCTGAAGTCAATGTCCCCCCCCCCCCGTGTCTCCCCAGCCTAGCGCGACAATCATCCACTCCTTCCTCACCTCCTTTGCTTCCTTGGCCTCTTTTAGTGGGGTAGTGGAGCAGGTCTTGTGAGAAACCAGGCAAAAGCAGCAGATGGGGACTCCATGCTCCTGGCAGAAGAACTCCAGGAGCTTGCTGTGGGCCTGACACTTCTTCTGCTGAAGTTCCTTCACGACTGGAACCACCTGGTGGCTCTTAAACGCCGGGCTCTCCAGGTGGGGCCCCAGGTGCTCCTGGCAGAAGGAGGCCATGCAGGTGAGGCAGGTCTTGGCCGCGTCGACCACCAGGCAGCTGTCGCAGGCCACTGGCGAGGGAGACCTCGGCTTGGCCGGGCTGCTCTTCGCCTTCTCCTTCTCCTCGCCCGGCTCTTTGTAGAGGCCATCTTGGCTGATCTGGAATTGCTCCACCACCTTGCAGAGCACCGTGTTTTTCTTCAGCTCAGGACGGGTTTCGAAAGAGGCTCTGCACTGGGGGCAGCTGAAGGTGTCCTCCACTTCCATCCAGGTCATCTCCAGGCAAGGCAGGCAAAAATTGTGGCCGCAGGGCGTAGTGACCGGCGTCTGAAAAACGCACAGGCAGATGGAGCAAGTCAGCTCCTCTTCCAGCCCGAACATAGACAACGGGTCGATGAAGGCAGCCATGACTGCGGCGCCGGAGCCAAGTCACCGCTTTATATATACACATAAGCGGGGAAGGAAAGGAAAGGAAAGCGAAACTTCCTGCACTGGCGCTAAGTGCGTTTCCTAGAAATCACGTGGGCCGGCGGGCGGGGGCGCTTGTGCGCAAGGCAAAGAGCCGCCTGATAAGCCTCTATGGAGAGGAGAGGAGAGGAGGTTCTCCCAATTGACCGACACCATCAAGGGCGGCTGGATGGGTTTGCTTGCTGCTTCTGCTTCCCGGTCCTCGCCCTTCCTTACTGATCCCGTCCCCTCCGCTTACTGCACGCCTAGAAGCAAAACGCATTAACCGCCTCGATCTTTTTTTATAAAAGGCAAATCCGAGAGATTCAACTCACTCGCGTCCATACCAGGAAACAAGGACTATTTTTTTTCCTATGGGTTGAGGACGTTACATATTTTCTGGGTTTAAATGCATGCCGGGTGTGCAAGACGCAGAAGAAGAGAGGTTTCGTGATGGATCATCGCAGGGGATAAACAATACCGCTTAGAGCCAATTATTTCCTGGTCAAATCCAATCAACCAACCAACACATTCATCTTATAATCGTCACGGTGGCCCGACCCCTGCCTGTTAGGTACCAGATGTAGAATGAGAATTGTAAAAAAGCCAACAGATGATGATAAACGTGATGGCTATTTATTATTTCCCAAATTGGAGAAACCTATTTCTACTAATTCTTGGAAACCTGGCTAGTCTGCTCTTGCCTCATGTATGGGCTCTGGGGCATACGTGGAAGCAGAACGCTGATTAGGCTTAACTTTGACCTGATATTTTATTCTAGGTCATCTTGTGTGTTTTTAGGAACTCGCAACTTAACTCCAAAAGAAAATACGTTGCATGTGCAAAATCGATATGAGCTCTTCTTTTTCTCTCTCTCTCTCAAATTGGCAGAATGTAGTTTGTATCAGGAGGGTTGCAGAGTCTTTCCCTGGCATCTCCCCAATGAACTTGAAAAATCCTGCTTAAATTGCTGTCCTCCAGGGGTTAACAAAGCAGTTGAAGAGACCGAGGTTCTGACTCAGAATAAGGGAACTTCTGATGTACTTATTTTTTCTGCTTCAAGTGTACTTGCTGATGGCAAGAAATCAGCAGCTTCTGCAAATCCTGGATAAAGCAGATTATCTGACTCCCATTCAGTCAGTCAGTCAGTCAGTCAGTCTGGATGGATTCATCCATCCATCCATCAATCATTCCAAGGGATGGAAATGGCATTGGTTACATGTTTGGGTGATCTCTGGCAGGAGCAGGTTGAGGATAGTGACCCTATTCTAGCTCTACCTGACCTCTCAGTACCTTTTTGAAATCATCAAGTATGGTATCCTTCTGGATCAGCTCCCAGGATTGGAAGTGGGTGGCATAGTATTGTGCTGGTTCTTTTCCTTCCTCGGGACTGATATTATTTGTTGCTGATCAAGGGATCTTGCCTTCGGCTCCTATTGTACTACCTGGGGTGCCGCAAGGTTTGGTGTTCCCCCACTACTGTTCAACATCTACATGAAACCACTGAGGGAGACCCATCTATCACCATCAGTAGGATGATGATACTCAAATTGTATTCTTGAACGTCTGGCAAATTAAGCAGTGCTGTGGATGTCCTCTCCTGTTCCTTGGAGGCTGTAAGGGTCTCGATGGGGAACAACACGCTTCAACCGAAACCTGGCAAGACTGAGTGGCTTTGAGTTTCAGATCTGAGACTTTATTTCTTTGGTGCTGTATAGCTGGCACTACCCCTGACAGACCCAGTTCACAATCTAAGAGCCTTTCTGACTCATAATTCCTGCCCAAGGAGCAGGTGGCAGTCAGGGGCATCTGTGTCAGTTTCTGGATCTGAAGACTTTGTTCAGTTACTCATGCTCTAGTCACTTCCCTCACAGACCATTGTAATTACTCTTGAGTAGCCAGAAATTTCAACTGGTGCAAAATGTAGCAGCACAGGCAGTTATGTGTGTCCCCAGGAGGACAGTTACATTTCTGCTTTATGACCTGATTTGGTTACGTTTGCTTCTGAGTGCAATTCAAAGTGCTTTAAAGCCTGACATGGGATGGAACCAAGTTATCTGAGGGATTGCCTCTTCTCCATTACATTTATCTCATTTCCCCCAAGTCCAGTAGGACAGGCAGGTTGCAAGTCCTGTCTGCAAAAGTATTCTATTTGATGGGACCTAGGAGGTGAGTCTTTTCTGCTGGGGCACCCTGTGGAACATCATCTGTCCTGATTTGACTTTAAACCACAAAATGCCATTTTTTCTCATATATATATATATATATATATATGAGAAAAAATGGCATATGCCATTTCAAATGGCATATATATATGTAGGTCTTTGGTTATTCGGGTTTTCTCCCGCGTAAAATTGGAGGTTTCTTGGCGACGTTTCGACGAAGTCTCATTCGTCATCTTCAGGCTGGTGTTCTCGGCTTCGTGCTTCCAGGAGCAATGTTATATATATATAACATTATATAACATATAACATATATATATATAACATATATAACCATATATATATGGTTATTTTTGCATAATTACTTAAGCAGTTATATTTTTATGCATAGATTTTGCATATACAGCAATTTAAAAAAAAACAAACTTGTAACTTCTAAGAGTCAGTCATTGGACTGAATTGATGTTAGTCCGTTTTGTATGTTGTTTTAATGTATTTATGTTGGTTTGGTTTTTTTATTATTAATAAAAATATTTTAAAAAAAACAAACAAACTTTCACCCTCTTTTCTGATGCTCCATGCTGTCCACTTTTCCCTCACTGCCCCCTAAAGATGCTGAGTTAGAGATTGGAGAATCAATCTGGTCTAGTGGTTAAGGCACCATTGTGAGTTCTAGTCCTACCTTAGGCCTGAAAACTGGATGAGTGTGACCTTGGACCAGTCACTCACTCTCAGCCCAGCTCACTTCACAGGGGTGTCATGGGGAAAATAGGATGAGGAAGGAATATTTAGTATAGTATTACTATAAATAAAGGAGAATATTTGTAGCTCAGGGTTGAAATAAGGGGTCCCAGATGCTCTCTTGAGCTTGCTTGTTTTCTTGCAAAAGTTTCATTACGTCAATTTGGGTAATGAAGCATCTGCAAAAAACAAACAAACAATTAAGCTCAGAGAGCACCAAGGACTCATTACTTTGAATTATTTATAAAAATAATAAAGATGGGATGAAAATAAATAATGTTTCCACTGCCAACATGGAGCAGTGCTATTACTCTGGGAATGTCTGATCTATATAATGTACCTGATATCAAATATCTGAAATGGACCCCCTAGCTAAAGCAATGAACATGTCTCCTTTTTTTAATTATAAACAAGTTTTATTAAGATTTTCCTTTTACATACATATTTTATGCACACAGTATTGACCGGATCACATCTTTTACAATTTATAACATAATTATATATATATATATTATAATCTGAGCAATGAACATGTCTCGTCTAAATCAGGGGTTCCCAAACTGGGGTGCCTGCATTTCTAGGGGGTACGAGATGGAATTTCAGGGTTTGTGACAAATAGTGACTTGTGTCCCTTTATGGTAACTTTTGTGGAGAGTGCAAACAATCAAAACATTTCCTAGGGGGTGTGGCATAGAAAACCACTGCTTTAAATAATATAGTTTAGGAATTATCTTGTTTCACAGTCCTTGGTTGTTGTTTTTAAAGTCTATACTAGAACATGAAGATTGCTTCCTTTTATATCTCCATTTGAACACAGAAGCGCATTGATTAAGTTTTTTTTTTAAAGAAAGACTGAGCTCTCAGGATAAGTTATGTCACATGTTGTTTTTCTTATCCAAATTGCAATTTGTCTGACTCATTTCATATTGGAGCAACTCCCAATACTTTACACCAACACTCCCCAGTACATTAAAAAAAAAACAACCACAGGGCTCTAGCCTCACCCTATGCCTTGGGGGAAAGCCAACTTTTTAGGTTAGAAGGATGGTCCTCCTTGACAGAACTCAGGAGAATCATGTTGCACAGATCACGGTGGGCTGCTACTGAGAAGGCAGCTACTTCAAAAGGCAGGACCAATTCTCAAAGTCAACCAAGCATTCCCTCAGCTGGCTGTTGAGACCGTGGTTGTTGACTGCTATACAGTCCACTAAAGAGAAAGACACTAGCCAATGATCCTACTGGGGAGCACAGAGGGCCCTCGGGGGTCTGGTGCAGCCTGCTCACATTGACAGACCAGAGAATATTCACATCTTCAGCTTCATTTCTTTGTGTACCCTAACAACTGATGAGACTTATTTTCTACCTCCCCACCCCGCAATGTTCCGATAGCCAGCTGGTTCACAAGAGTAGAAAATAGGCTGAAAATGCTTCATTCCTAATACAAGTAGGAATGTGAATGCTAAAATTCAGGAAACTGACAATAGTGAACAGGTGTCTAACAGGTTCAATTAATTATGGGTCTGCATTTGCTATACTAAATTAAACTATGATGGTGTAAAAGCAACCCAAAAGTGTAATAAGATATACAATGAATATATAAAAATAAGATTTCATTTTACTGGAGATAATCACCCAGCCCCTCACTACTCAAAAGATTTCTACTGAATATTCTTGATCAACCAGCTTACATTAAGTTATTAATATTATGAAATAACATGTAACATAATACAAATGTGAAATACTTCATTTTTCATTTAATTAAAAAATGAAGGGGAGGGCCTAAACATCTACTTATTGGTCAAAAAATGGGCACACCTATATGCTTAAAAGAGGAAAACACGGGAGGGTTTTAAGTTTAATTAGCTGGTCTCTGCATTTTCCAAGCATTCATTAATGCTCCTTGATTGCATAAAGTTTCCGAGACATCATACCAGATATTCATAAATGACAAGACATCCCCTCAACCTCATTTTCATGTTATAATATTTTATTTAAAAAAAGCATATGTATACGCCGTCTTCAGAAACTGAAGAAAAAGCCTTCAAAAACCATTTACACACAGTTCAGGCATTCTGTATTCACAGCTGAGGGTCAGGCAAGTTCATGTCTGAAGGGATTCCTTTTTGGGGCCAGATTCATTACTTGGAGAGTCAATTATTAATCTGGGTTCAATTAGTGCCTCCCAACTCTCAGTTATCTAAAAGAGGAAAAAATAAATGAAATAGTAAAATTGAGGCAGCCAGCAGATACCAACTGAATGACATTCAATTACTGCAAGACAATGTAAGTGTTCTGTTATGAGCAAAACATTTATCAAAGCACATATAACTCCAAAGGCTAAAAATGCAAGCCACAGTTATTCCAGTTACACCAACATGGCATCAAGCTGAGTTGTGGCCACGACCTTTCATTTATTGTACAGAGTTGTTCAATAGTTGTTGAACTGCATTTAACATAGGTGGTTTAGGGTAAAGGATGTATCTGGTCACCTCCTCTAATTGATATACAGATATCCTTGACTTACGGCCACAAGTAAACCCAACATTTGTTGCAAAATAAGACAGTTGTTATGGAGTTTTGCCCCAGTTTTACATCCTTTCTTACCACAGTTAAGTGCATGACTGCAGTTGTTAGTAACATAGTTATTAAGTAACTCTAGCTTCTCTATTGACTTTGCTTGTCAGAGGTCTCAAAAGGGTTAGGGTTGACCCCGGAACACTATGACTGTCATAAATACATGCCAGTTGCCAAGCACCCAAATTTTGATCATACAACCATGGGGATGTTGCAGTCCTACAGTATGTGTGGAAAAATAGTCATAGCTCATTTTTTTCAGTGCTGTTGTAACATCAGACACTAAACAAATGGTTGTAAGTCGAGGATTATCTGTATGCATGTGTGTGTGTGTGTATACACATACACACACACAAACACACCTGTTACCTCAAAGTGTGGGCAGCTGGGAAGGAAAGGGAAATAGGACAGGGAAATAGAAGAAAGAGTATAAATGGAAAAGAGAGAGAGAGAGAGAAAAGCGGGAAAGTAAATCTAAGGGAGAGGGAGAGGGAGAGAGAGAGAGAGAGAACATAGAAGAATGATGTCAGATATGTGTAAATGAAGGGATGAAAGGAGTTGATTCATGAGAGACCAAATTTGGAACTGTCCCCCCCAATACTGGTACCAGTTCCAAATGTTGCTGACATGTGGCCTCAAAAGGATCTGCCCAAGAAAAACTTGAATTGGGAAATGTCCATTCCCCCCTTTCACTCTCTCTCTCTCTCTCTCTCTCTCTCTCTCTCTCTCTCTCTCTCTCGAGGCAATTTAACTTTTACCAGCAAAAGAAATACTTCCTGCACAGCCACTGCAGCATACGTAAAGAGAGGCTTAGAATGGTCAAACAATTTCAAGAAAGTGCTGTCATACCTTCCTGTCTTGAGATACGGCATATTCAATTGTCTCATCTCCATTTTCAGATTGATAAACCAGATCAAATTTTCCTGGCTCTTTTGTTACTAAAGAAAAAAAAAAAAAAAGACCACAACAAAATGTAAATTAGATCGGAATGTTTGCAATGTAATTGGACTTGTCAACAGATGGTGTAAATCAGGGGTGTCAAACTCAAGGCCCGGGGGCCAGATCCAGCCTGCAGGGTGCTTAGATCTGGCTTGTGGGGCCAACCTGGAAACAGTGAAGGAATGGCCCAAGGTGCCTCTGCCAGCGAAAACAGAGCTCGGGAGGGCTATGTGCAGTCCTCCCAAGCTCCGTTTTCATTGGCAGAGAGCTGCAGGAGTCCATTGCAGCTGAAAATGGAGCTTGCGAGGGCCGCAAGTGGCTCTCCCGAGCTCTATTTTCTCTGGCAGAGGGTTGCAGGAGGCCATTCCAGACAAAACCGGAGCTCGGGAGCTTGTTTTCACTGGCAGAGTGCTTGGGCCACCACAGATGCCTTTGACACGAGTGACATCGAGCTGGCCACCCTTCCCCTGGCCACCCGCCCCCCCGCCCCCCGAGGTCAAACACAATCCGGATGCGGCCCTCAATGAAATTGAGATTGACACACACACACACTCGGTGTAAATGAATGGATTCCACTGATGAAGAGATTCTGTCAGCAGAACAGAGAAGGAACCCGCCCTCCTGTTCAGCTGCCTCCCCAGCAGAATCTCAATATCTGCTCCTGAGACCTTCTCTCCGGAACAATTTAGGGGTGTGAGCAGAGGCCTGCAAAAGAAAAAGAAATTCTGCTCGCCCTGCTTGAGATTTTTTTTTCCTGTGATGGCTAAACTTTATCTTTAAGCCAGACTAATTTTGCAAAACCCCATTATAAACTATGACAATCCGTGATCCGTCTTCACAAGAACAATTTAAGATGTTGCATATTACTTACCTGAAGAAAAAGAAAGGATTTCAAGCTCTAGTTGCTTATTAACAGGATTCCAGCTGACGATTTTTCCTTCCTTAAAAATATGGGAAAGAATGAAATAACAGCATTTGTAAGGGCATTCGAGAACACATCAGTATTTTATCGTATCATAAATTGTTCTCTTACTAAAGTTATACCCAAAAGGTGCCTGCAGCATTAAGGATAATAGGGGTTTTTATTATAAGCGGAAGCTGTTTAAATAAGAGCAATTCATCCTCTCTGCTAAGTACAGATATTTGTTTAGTGACCAAAGTTACAATGGCATTGAAAATAGTGACTTATGACAGTTTTTCACACTTATGACCATTGCACCATTCCCACAGTCACGTGATCAAAGTTCAGACACTTGGCAACTCGTATTTATGACGGCCACAGTGTCCTGGAGCCATGCGATTCCCTTTTGTGACCTTCTGATCAGCAAAGTCAATGGGGAAGCTAGGTTCACTTAACAACTGTGTTACTAACTCAACAACTGAAGGATTCATTTAACAACTGTGGCAAGAAAGGTCATAAAATGGGGCAAAACTCACTTAACAACAACAGAACAGAAATTTTGGGCTCAATTGTGATTGTATGTTGAAGAATACCTGTATTGTGTAGTTTGATGTCAAAGGATAGTGTTCTCCCAATAAAATGCATTACTTCTCTTCTTCATGATCCCTAGCATTTCATACAATACTAACAATGAGAACTTGACTAGTGAACGACTTAACTGGTAATTCTGAAATTCCTTACAACTATATTTCCAAAGAGAAAAGAAGAGACCACATTCATATGATACTCCACAGTTATGCCCAGGCTTTAGAACTACGGACTGTGCTATTTGAAAGTTGAAAAGACATCTGTAAAGATGGGTTTTTCTAGTTAAGAATGGATTTTTCTATTTAAAATTATATTGCTCTGCTAGGAGGAGAAAGTACGTAAGTATATATAAAAATCAATGAAGCAATCAGGACCCAGGTTACACTTTGCTGTTTGGACAGAAGCCATGTAACATGCCATAAACATATCTGGCAAAGGGTAATGCAAAAAAGCTCATATTATAGAATAATGAAGGGATGTACTGTAGGTCAGGTGACAGCAAGACTAAGGCACCAACCTCAAGGTCTAGATTAGAGCTATTGCTTTATTCTTCTGGGTATGTGTGTGCCTTTTGAGTCAATGTGAACTTCTGAAAATTCACTGGACAAGTCCTGGCAGGTTTTTTGGCAAGATTTCAGAAGTGGTTTGGTCTTGCCTCCTTCCTAGGCTGAGAAAAAGTAACTGGCCCAAAGTCACCCAGCTGGCTTCCTGTCTAAGGAGGGGCTAGAACTCACCATCTTCCACTTTCTAGCCTGGTGCCTTCACCATTGCACCAAACTGGCTCTCTTTGTTGAGGGGCTTCTCTTGCCTATGCAAATATCATTCATTATTCATTTTTGGCCATGTATCTCCTTTTATATAATCTTTTACAAATCTATCTTTAGTGCTTTTGGACGGGTTGTTTGGGAGCCGAGAGATCACTGTTCTATATTTCAATAAGGAAACTTCCGATTTCAGTAACTTTGGTTAGTCTTTTCATGGATTGTTTTCTCCATTACAGAAATAGAATAAGAAAGATAAATTCCCAAACAAGAACAACAACAAATATGCTCTATGCTCTATAAAGATTTTTGTACTCATTATCTCAAGAATCTTTTCAATGAGCCATGGTGGGGCAGTTATTAGAGTGTAGTACTGCAGGCTACTTCTGCTGACTGCCGGCTGACTGCCATGTGGCAGATCGAATCTCACCAGGCTCAAGGTTGACTCAGCCTTCCGTCCGCCTGAGGTGGGTAAAATGAGGACCCAGATTGTTGGGGACAAGAGGCTGACTCTGTAAACCGCTTAGAGGGTGGTAAAAGCACTGTAAAGCGGTATAAATCTAAGTGCTAAATGCTATCTGTAAATTAGACTAGCATCTTTATCTCTGGAGACAAGAAGGAAGGGTGGTCACAGAATTAGATTCAAATTGGCCAGCCCACCCCAATCGATATCTCACTTGCTTATTAATTCAATATTAAAATTAACACTGGCAATAAAGCAAAAAAGATCAGAAGACAATGTGTCTTTTCAAAAAAACAATTTTATTAAAAGGCATAAGCTTTTAGATGATGTTGCTCACTTCATCCGATGCATAGGATTTAAATTGGGATGAGGCAATGGGGATGAGGGGGGAGGCAGAATGATTATACAGATGCAGATTACAAGAGAAAATCTGAATTACCGTATTTTCCGGCGTATAAGACGACTTTTTAACACATGAAAATCTTCTCAAAAGTCGGGGGTCGTCTTATACGCCGGGTGTAGTTCTCCTGTAACCAGGCAGACCAGCCCGAAAGGCTCTGACGAGCCTTAAATGGCTCTGGCGATCCCAGCTCTGGCGATCCCAGCTCTGACAATCCCAGCTGAGTTCCCTGCAACTCAGCTGGGATCGCCAGAAACCACGTAAAAGGGAAAAAGTTTTTTCCCTTTTACTCGGAGGATCCCAGCTCTGACGATCCCAGCTGAGTTCCCTGCAACTCAGCTGGGATGGCCAGAGCCATGTAAAAGGGAAAAAGTTTTCCCCCTCCAGCTTGCTTACCTCAGCTGCTAATCGCAACGCTTGCCTTGCTTTGCTTGCTTGAATCTATTCAGGCAAGCAAGCAACTCCCTGCCTGCAATCAAGCAAGGAGTTAGTTGTGGACTTCAACTCCCAGAATTCCTCAGCCAGCAAAGCAAAGCTGGCTGAGGAATTCTGGGAGTTGAAGTCTACAAGTCTTAAAGTTGCCAAAGTTGGAGACCCCTGTTCTATTGGGTAAGTTTTTTTCCCCTTTGGGAGCTTTAAAAAAAATAGTCAATTGGGGTTTTTTTAGTTGTTCTTTTTTAGACCTAGCCATTTAGGAAGCTGTTTAGGAAGTTTTAAATTTAGCTTTCATATAAAAATAAAAATAAAATAAAATAAAATAATATTTGTGCAGCTTTCTGAGATTTAGTGTGTTTCTGTAGTGTTTCACTCCAACTACACAAACACACAAAATCTCACAAAGCTGTATGTGGAATTTTGTGTGTGTAAAGTGTGAAAGTTGGTTTTTTGGACTTTTTGTGGCTGTGTGAGGTTCCTGCTTGTTGCAGGGGCCATTTTGGGTCTAGCACAGCTGCTTTTACATTGTGGGTGAGCCAGTTGATGTTTTTTAATTTTTATTTGGTGTGCATTGGAAGAGGGGCAGTCTTATATGGCAAGTATAGCCCAAACCCTATATTTTAACAGGAAAAGTTGGGGGTCGTCTTATATGCCCAGTCGTCTTATACGCCGGAAAATACGGTAGCTTGTAATTACAGCTCATAAAAGCTTAGGCCTTTTAATACAACATGTTTTTCAGAAAAGGTGCTCCTTCTGAGTTTTTGCTACCACAGACTAACATGGCTGCCTTAAAAAAACAAAGCAGCAATACTTAATAAATAGAAAAGCAGCATCAAATTACATTGAAAAGTTGATCGCAATACCTTGTAATCGGATACTTCAGGAGTATAATTTTCGGTTAATTCCAAAAGCTGTTAAAAGAAAACCCAAACTCTTAAGCTCCAGATACACGTGTAGCCTTCACAAATTATATTGTTCACCTAAAGTTAGCATAGAAACTAGAAATCAATGATAAAAACTAGTTTGTTAAAAAAAAACCTTTATAAAATAAAAAATTTGAATCCAATTACTCCTGATAACATTCAATGCACAATAATATTAATAATTATTTACACCGTACCCATCTAAAAAGCTCCGCTAACAATGTAAGTAGATTAATGACCCTCCAGGAGAGGGAGAAGAATCTGTAGCTCGCCAGAAATCATTTAATTATAACTCCAAACAAGCTCTGGCAATTAGCGCCAGTGATAAATGATGCTCTCTCCGAGTTGTTATGTATATGTCACCGTAGTAAGGCAAGTAAAACATCCCAGAAAAACACATATGGGAGAAAAAGGTATATAAATCTTTCAGAGAAGATGCCAGCCTGTGAACCAATGAAGTTCTCCTTTCTCCCCGCCAAAGAATTAATTGGTGGGGAGTGGGGAGAACTTCACCTGATACAGGTACAGGCAGAAAAAGTCTGGTCAACCTCAACTCCCACTAGTTTCATGGAAACCTCCATGTTGTTTTCTAGGCAACAATAGAGAGGTGCTTTGCCACTTGCTTCTTGCAAGATGGGTTTTTTAAAAATTTCTCAGTCCAAGATATATTCATGAGATTTCCCAGTGACCTCTCATCCAACAAATAACCAGCTAACCAATCTTGCTTAGCTTCTCAAGATCATTCAAAGTAGTTAGGTGGTTGAGTGGCTTCTGTATAACATGGTTCCTAATTCTCCAGGATTAGGCTACTTTTTGTTAAGAACACTCTACCCTTTTTACACATGAAAACAGCATTTCTCTTTTAAAACGAAGCTTCCACCGTCCTACAGAAGTGGAATCCAATTTTTAATCCAATTTTGGATCTACAGAGAAAATACACCAGGTACACATATAATGCTAAACTATGATGAGGCTTGTGCGCTCAAAAGCCCAATTGGGCTTATTATCAGGGGATGTCTTATTTTGCGGGAAACATGATACCACTGTACTTTGTAAACCACTGCTTGCAATTTAGTACCTTGTGCGAACCAACAATTCTGGTGTGTGGAGTTTAATCAATCATGTTTGAACAAACCTACCTCACAAAAACAGAATATGCTACTCTACCTGCCTCATGGTTAATATTTGCATTTCATCCCCCCATTTCATATTATACAGCTGAAAGAAGAATACCTTAAAGGCAATTTTTTGGCCTACTTGTGGAGGAGCAGCTAAGAGAGGTAGTGCGCTATAGTCCTTTTTCGGAGCTTCCACAGGATTCTACAAAACAATCATTAAAAAGATCATTGGTACAAAACAAGTACAGTACTAAGATGATGTAATGCAAAGTTGCCCCGTTAAGGTTTACTTTAACACATTAACTGCCTTGACAGTGATGACAGTGATGGCACTACAATACTGGAGTATTTTATCTATGAAAAATTAAGCCTGACAGAGATCGTGAGCATGGTAATTAAAACCTTTCAAGCCTCATGGTCTTCCACATAGACCACACTTTGGGAATCCTTGTTCAGAAGGCTGAGGGAGGAATAGATCTGCCTGTCTACTAGTCTTCCTCCAATCTTCTAAGGTAGTAATTCTCCAGAGTGTGGTGTACCCAAGCTACCTCATGATTGCTGCCTCAGCTTCACCTCCCCATGTGCACACAGCCAGTTGCCAGACCACTTACTGCTCAGTGCCCACACAGGAAGATTTTACAAAACTTTACAAGGCCTCTTAAAATGGAGAGGTGTGAAGATCCTGGGGTCTGTGATGTTGTCGCGGGGGTTTCATGAAGGCTTCAAGAAATGTTATGATTGAAATCTTGAGTTAAGTCTTGGTGGCTCGTGGCCCTAAAAGCTATTTAAAGGGAGTCCAGGGTGAAGAAAAGGTTGAGAACCACTGAACTATATTAATTATACATTTGCTGATAAATGTAAATACCCATAATCTTAAAGATGCAAATGTATGATGTACGGAAAGCTTGTTTCATTGGCTAGTCTTTGCATATTCCTAATATTTATTTAGTCATCCATGATGAGGGGGGGGGGGAAATCTGAGAAACACTGATCCGAAGTACTAAAACTATCAGAGTGATCCTATATTGGAATTTTTTTTAAAAAAACCCACCTATACCAGTTCCCTTATTTCAACTTTTTCATTAAAAAAATATTTTTTCTTGCAGCGTGGAGCAGATTTCAAAATAGGTTTCTAATAAATTCCAGAGACTTCTTTTCACTCCATGAAACACTCAGGAGTTCTTCTACCTATTCCTAAGTAGGATAGCAAACTCTCCATGATTCTAGATGGTGCAACTTCTTCAAAGGCAGGTAATTGTTTTAAAGTACTGGATTTTCTCCATAGCCTAGAGCAGGAGTTCCCAACCTCTGGGCAGTGGCTCACTACACTCTTAAGCCATTTGGAACCGGGCTGCAGAACTGATGGGAGAGCATGTGCGTGTGTCTGCCACTCATGCGGGATCATCCCTCCCCCCCCACCCCGGTGGTCTGTGAAGCCGGAAAGGTTGGGGATCTCTGGCCTAGAGGGAAAAAAGGTACTGTCAAAAGTCTATTGATTACATAGGAGCATGTGCAACTGGCCTACTGTACAAAATAGTTGACATGGTTACCTTACCAGCGTTGACTACGCAAAGATGCAACATAAAAGGGAGAAAAGATAACAGGAAAATGATACAGCCCAGAAACATTCTTAGTCAGTTGTATCAAAATGCCAAACTTCAGAATGAAAACTCCAGCAGCCTCATACCCTGCTTCTCAGTTTCTAGACAAAGTCAGAAATAGAACATTCAATCGATACTCAATTTCTGCAGACAAAATTAGGAACCAGACTTCCACCATTTGGTGGCAAAGAGAGGTATGTAATGGCTTCCATTTTTCTAAGAATGTTTCATCGCTGATCCATGGAATCATAGACTGGAATGTTACTGTTACACCCACCTGAATAACAACAGAGGCATTTGTTGCTGCTTCATTTAACTGTTTTTGTTTCTGGTTTTCACTACTGTGGTTATAAAAAAAATGAACGCGTTCTCCCCTTCCCCTATCCCTGGTCATCCCACGGCATCCGCGAACTCTAGGTCCTCTCCAAAAGGGGGCTTCTCCTCTTCCACGCCCCTTTCCGTTTTCCCTCAAGTTTGAAGCTAGTCCACAAGAGACATCTGACAATTGTTTGTCGTCATTCCCTCTGACAGATAGATTGCCTGTGGCAATCACCTTCTGTTTCTTTAAAGCACATGTCTCTGATTCAGAGCTATCATCAGATTCCGATGAGGAGCTTTTTGGTTCAGCCTTTGAAGGATGGCCTGTCACCTTTTGCTTTTGATAGGGTAGCTTATTTCTCAGGTTACTGCTCTGCTGCTCTTCCTCCGAACTAGAATCTGAATCTGAACTAGAGGACTGGCTCTTGGTTTTCTTAGTTTGTCCCGTTTTAAGAGAAACGTCGTCTTTATTTTTCCCAGCAGAGAGTGTTTTTAAAGACACCAACTGTGGTTTGTTTATGTGCTGCGATGTCCCTTTAGACGCATGTGTGTTAGTCTGTTTTGTGCCTGGTTTATAATAGTCACTATCTGATGTTGATGTAGAGGATTCACTAGACGGACTGCCTTTCTTTGGGTTGGATTGTGCTATTGTGTTTCCCTTTGTGCTTTTTTGGCTGAGACTTTTCTCAGTCTTCTGGGTGGTGCTCCTTGATGGAAATGTAGTTGCTTTCTTCTTTTGCTCTTTCTTTGCATCCTGCTCTTTCCTCTGCTGATTTTTCCCCTTAAGTTTCTTGGAATGAGAATTATCATCCTCATTCTCAGTGACCATCATATGACTCCTTTCAAGTGCCGCTTTTTTCTTTTCCCCCAATGTCACAGAATCTTGAATATTTGTAGATTTTTCTTCTTGGTGCTCAAAGTCCCAGTTATTCTTGTTTCTTTTGTAGGACTCCTTATCTTCACTTTTGGAGTCCTTTGCCTCCAATTTCCACTGTCGCTTTCTTTGTTTTTTTGACAAGCTGTTGGAACCATTGGTGACTGTGTTGTAACTGTTCACTCCAACAATCTCCTCCAATCTGACTCTATCAAATCCACAAACAAAAGAAAATGTCAATGTTGCAACACATTTTATATACCCTGTTTCCCCCAAAGTAAGACATCCCCTGATAATAAGCCCAATCAGGCTTTTGAGTGCATGACAATAAGGCCAAGCGCTTATTTCAGGGTTCAAAAAAATATAAGACAAGGTCTTATTTTTGGGGAAACACGGTAGTATCATGCTAAAAAATGAAATCCATCCAGCTGGCCTTTAATCCAACAAAGACACAGGTTAGGAATACTGATCTCAATACAATATTCTCTTTTTTTGGTCTTTATGCCTTAAGAGTAATAGTTTTATATATGTACTGTATACTTAAAAGTAAGCCACATGAATGGGATCGTATCACATGATGCTATGATTTATTGAATCATAGTTCAAGTATGCCACATTTGTTTGGGCTCATATATCACATTAAACAAAAAAAAAATCATAAGGTTACATAACATGTAAATCCTTCTCTATATTTAGAGCTTATGCCTCATAATGGTATAGGATCGCAACCTGGAAGAACAAATAATTTCCATTAGGTCATGGTTTCTCAAAATGAGCACTACCATCACCCAATAATATGATAAATGAATTTATATGACAGCTTCCATAAATAAAATGAATATCATTAAGGCCAAGTTTGGGCAAGTCAGTGTATTGCTTACTTGTAATAATTACTGTTGTGGCCAAATCTGGCTCACCAAAAACAACCAAATCACTTTGAATATACCACATAATTTTATTAGCATGCAAACAAGAAGAGAGTATATATTGGGCTCCCAGCAACGCTTCTGCACTTTGCTGAACAGCCATGAGCAAAAGCAGAACTAGAGCTGACATACCTTTGGCCTATTTCATTGTGAAGACAAGGTAATAGGACAGCACAACCTTGGAATGTTTTAGATAGATAAAGACATCCATGTGACTTTATTATTTATTCATTCTTACTAGGTCAGCATGGCACCCACATTATCTGAGATATGGTAAGTGAATAGAAATAATTGAGTTTACTGGGCCACAGATTCCTGACCAATGATTCCTCCCTCTGATGCCACTCAGGGTCAAGCTTGCTGTGAATGTTTTCTTACCAGGGTACTTTAAGTAGTTCATGTTTATGGTTGGGGGGGGATCCCATAGGTTTGGTAATGAGTGGAGCTTACATGTCTTGGGGTTTTAATTACATTTTAATCTAGCCATCACAGTGTTCTCAAATTTTATGAGCGTTCACAAGCAAAACAGAGACCAAACCTCAAGAGTGATAAAGTCTTGCTAATATAAGCATGGTAAAGTTTCTTTAAAACTTCAAGAGTTTAGGAACATCTGCTCTAGATGATAAATAATTTTATGACTGCTTACTTCCACATTTAGATGTACTAACTTTAATGTGCCACATGTTAAATAATTATATAATTTTTATAGTTATATAATTATGCTATATAATTATGATGCACTTGGCTTTCACCAGCATTCCCCCTCCAACTACAGGTAGTCCTCAATTTACAACAATTCATTTAGTGATGTTCAAAGTAATAACAGCACTGGAAAATGTGACTGTTTTTTCCTACTTACGACCTTTGCAGCATCCCTATGATCATGTGACCAAAATTCAGAAGCTTGGCAACTGGTTCAATACTTATGGCAGTTGCAGTGTCCCAGTGTCGTGTGATCACCTTTTGCAACCTTCTGACGCGCAACGTCAATGGGGAATCCAGATTCACTTAACAACCGGGCTACTAACTTATCAACGACAGTTGATTGACTTAACAACCGTGGCAAGCAAGAAAAGTTGGAAAACGGGGCAAAACTGACTTTAACAAATGTCTCAACCACAGAAATTTTGGGCGCCACTGTGGTTGTAACTCGAGGACGGCGTGTGTTGAGCATGGTAAACCCCATCAACTGTATGTGAATCTAATGGAAGATGCGATTCAAAGCATTTGGAAGGCACCTTCCAGCCTAAATCTGAACAGGATCAAGCTTAACATTCAAAAAATAAAATAAATTTGAGTAAATCTGCCAACACGCAAACCAAATAGGCAAAATCTCAGTTCGCTCCAAAGCAGGCAGCCGCTCGCGAGAGCCCGTTTTCCCCCACCACCGTAGCCCAGGCCTGTGTAGCATCCAAGGAGCCACACACCCCCACACACACACACACGGGCCCTTTTTCCCTTTGCAAGGCTTCCCACCGAAGAGAGTCGTTGTCCCGCACCAGCCGCGCGCTCTCGGTGGGCGGCAGGAGCGCCCCGTCGAGGAAGAGGTTGAGCCTGGCGCGGCTGCTATAGCCGAACTTCTCCCGAATGAGGCTGATCAGGTCAGTGATGAGGCGCACTTGATTGGGCTCCACCAACAGCCAACACAGTCCGAAGGCCGGAGCCACCGGCGGCGGGTAATCGAAGAGCAGGCGGAGACGCACCGGAGCCTCGCAGCCGCTGCCTATGGCCGCCGCCATGTTTCCGAGAGCCAACAGCTACGGCGTGCCACGCGGGACAAAGCAAAAACGCGAGAGCGAGAGAGGGCGGGGCTGGCCGCGAGATGCTCGGGAACGCTATGGGAAAAGAGAAAGCGCGAGAATCTGAGGATTTTTTTTTTTTCCCCACAAGGCAATTTTTTTCTTTTCCCCCTTTAAAAAAAAAAAAAGTCCATTTTTTTTTTTTACTTGAATGTTTTTAAATGAAAACAATCATAACAATAAAATCAAGTTAGGCTGGAAGTTTTCAGACTCTCTGGATATGTTGGAGTTCAGGAGAGAGAGAGAGAGAGAAAAAAACCCCAAATTCCACTTCCTTATTCACTCTGAATAATTTAACATCTCTCGGAAATCTCCGAGCAACGAGATTGCATATAAAACGGCTGATAAAAGCACGGGAAGGTGTTTTGTTTTTTGTTTTTAATGTGTTTAAGACGGCTGATAAAAGCACGGGAACGTGTTTTTTTTAAAAAAAAATGTGTGCGGAGGAATATTTAGTTGGTCATCTTGCTAAGGGCATTATGTCACCTACCAAAGAAACATACTGGCTTTTTTTTAACCATAAAGGTATGCAAATAAAGTGTAAAAATAGATGGCAGGAGACTAAACATGTTTGTCTACAAAATGTGTAAAAGAGTCGAAAGTCAGCAATACTGTTAAAGGTCAATAAACCTCTCTTAATTTTGGGTGGGGATACATGCTCATTTTTCACACTTTTCCTTTACTGAATTCTCCATATGAATTTTCGGGAATTACATGTCCAGCACTTTTATTCTCCCTGCCATTGTGATAGCTAGTAGCCTTCCATATAGGATCAGGGTGCCCTCCTCTCTCTCTTTATAGAAACAAGTTTTCAATAAAATAGAAGTATGTTAAAATAAGTCAAGCTTGTATTCCTTCCTTGGTTTTGCTCATAATAACCATTTTGAATTTGGAGGATGCAAAGGTGGAGATTATTTGTACATTAGCACAATGTTCACTTTGTGCTTTGATTATAACTATAATTGTAGTGTTTTATTCATATGGTATATAGGTTTTACTTAATTTTATCCTTTTAATATTATAAACCACCCAGAATTATCCTGTTTTAAGATGGGCAGCCAATAAATAAAATAAAATAAATAGGCTCAAAGGAATATTCTTTCATTTTAAAATGAGAATAATATGGAAACATGAATGTCAGAGAAAAGGAGAAGTTCATAAACCAGATTTTTGTGGGGTGGTTATTTTTATGTGGAAAAGCAGATGATGTATTCTTGCAGTCCGAAGCTGTCCAAGCCTTCAGATTCAATTTAACATGAAAACCAAGCTGGAAGAAAGGATGGCTGCTGTGACAGGCTAAAGATGTAACACTTTAAGTTAAAATTGTTTAAGTCCTATTTGATTGAATAAAACCACAATTGACTGGATGCATCCAACACACTAAGCCAAAAGCAAACAAGCCACATTCACTAACCCTTTAGTGAATTCTGCTTGCTATTTTTCTTGAGTGAGCTGCAATCATATTTTTTTACAGCAAGGTTGCAAATGCTTAGGGGAGCTTGTATTTCAGGAAGCTTTTTTTTTTTATAAAGAGGAAGTTGTGGAAGCAAATACTTAGTTCCCAAATCAGTCAATTTCCCGTATTGCTTGTGGTTTATTTTAACCCTATTGCTAGGTTTGCCTACAAGAGTAAATGAAAACAAAGGAAACCACATCTATCTTGTCTGTCTGTCTGTCTGTCTGTCTGTCTGTCTGTCTGTCTATCTATCCCATCCACCCATCCATCCATAAAATTTCTATGGCCATTCTATGCATTTCTCTCTCTCTCCCTCCCCGTGTGTGTGTGTGTGTAGGTACAGAGGAAGAACATTTCATAATGCGGCGATTACACTAGCTGGACTATCGATTACACTAGCTGGACTATCGTATAGCGACATTAGTCGCCTTGGGGGGTTTGGGGGCAAGGGGGTATTTCTCTTGTTTGCATGAACCTTCCCAAAAATAAATGTTAAATAGTTAGAGTGTGTGTGTGTGTGTGTGTGACTGTATGTAGGGGAAGAATGTTTCATAAGGTAGACAGGGGCGTGTTGCAGTGGTGGAATTCAGCCAGAGTTCCATGTTGGTTACATTTGCCAGCAAGAAACACATTGGATGGCAGCAACTCCAAACAGGTTACAGCCAGATTACACCAGGCAGGCTAAACTATTTTAAATTCATTTTTTCACCAGTCTGATCGCCCTGGTAGCATAAACTGGGCCAAGAAATGAACCAGAGGGATCAGGGCTACGACGACTTGGCGTGCTTCTATCCAGCACGGAGCCAAAGAACCGCAGAGGCGGAATTCGCCCCCACCGGGACAGAGCCAAAATCGGCGCCGGCGTTTTGAATCTCGCGCTCTCGTCGCGCGGTGAAAGCTGGTCGGACGCCGCCAAGTCCAGTTTTGTAGCGCGCAAAGGTCGGGCAGGACCAAGGCGATCACGTGAGAAGCTTCGGCGAAAGGAAAACATCGCGGTTCGCGAGTTGGGCCGGGTCTTGTGGAGCTCTGCTGCAAGGCTCGCTTTTAAAGTCGGCTCGCCACTTCCCCTTCTTCAGAAGCGGCTGGCGGGGAGCTCGAGTCTGACGATCGCGCCCTGCCGTTGTCGTGATGTTGCTGACGGAAAGTATTATTCTGATACTGTCGCTGCGGACTCTAAGTTCAGGTAGGCTTGGAAAGGAGAGGGGCTTCTTTTTTCCCCCACCAAATCGTGTGTGGTTAGTAATAGCTCATTTAAACACACACACTCACACGTACGTTTACACGATTGGAGAACGGTGCTCCTTTTTTGTATTGTTGAATTAGTAACAGCTTCATTTAAAACACCCACAAACACTCACCACTTTACGGGAGGTGGAACACGATTGGAGAACGGTGCTCTTTTTTGTGGTGTTGAATTTAAAACTGACCGGCGGCATCTCGAGGCTAACCTGAGAGTATATATTTCTTGTTTTATCTGCATTGAGATTTTAAAAGCTTGCCTTGTAGCTGCTGAGCTTTCTCACCCTGCCAGCTATGCAAGTCTCCCTCCGTGGAAGAACATTATGTAGGTGGCAGAATCTGAATGAGTAATCATGGGCTGAAAAATCTCTGCGGAAATTTCTTAGATCCTCTTTTTAGTGCCAGCCTCCACTTTGGGTTGTTTGTGAACTACAACTCCCAGCAGCTTCAGCCAGTGTGATCTGCTGTGGGAGGAGGGAGGAGGGAATTTCACATCTCCTTTGGGGAAATTTTTTGGGGGATTTTAGCCTTCTGCAATAAAAGCTGCTGCAGCCTAAAATACCTTTAGGCCTTCCTTCCTTTTTCTTTCTTTCTTTCTTTCTTTCTTTCTTTCTTTCTTTCTTTCTTTCTTTCTTTCTCTCTCTCTCTCTCTCTCTCTCTCTCTCTCTCCCCCTCCCTCCCTCTTTCTTTTTTGTGTATTTTTGTTGGCATGTCCTTTCCCTTGTCATCCAGATACTTCTCTGATTTCTAGTGACAAGCCTTGCACAGAGCTAGGAGATATGAGCTGCTGTGGAGAAACGCTTTGATTCCCAGTATTCATCCAAGCAGGCTTGTTTGGAAAGTCAGTGTAAAATATCTACTCCTTTAATTGGTAATTATTTAAAACAAGTTTTTAAATTTGCCCAAAAGGAAACATCCCAATTAAGCAGTCACTCCTTTTTTAAAGCTAACATTTTAAAATTAGACACTCGAGGAAGAACTGCTAGATAAGTATAACTTAAATTTAAATTGTATAACTTATGCTCCCAATTTCTTCAGAGACAAAGTGTATATACGTAGTTTTCAACTTACAATACATTTAGTGACTGTTCAAAGTTTACAATGGCACTGACTTATGACCATTTTTCACACGGCCATTGCAGCATCTCCATGGTTATGTGATTAAAATTCAGACACTTCGCAACTGGCTCATATTTATGATGGATTCTCATGTGACCATTTTTTGTGACCTGACACACGTTACAAGTCAATGTGGAAGCCTGATTCACTTAACAAATGTGGCAAGAAAGATTATAAAATGGGGCAAAACTCACTTAACAAATGTCTCACAGCAATAGAAATTCTGGGCTCAATGATCGTAAGTCGAGGACTACCTATATATGGTGCAGCAGATGTTTTCATAGACGCCTGCTGCACCATGACGCCTGCTGCACAAAAATGAAATAATAGAGGAATAGTTAAATTCTACCTAAATTCCTTATTGAGTTTCCATAACTGAGGGTACATCTGGAATTGGGAGTCTTTAGTTTTAACCAAATATCTCCATGCTTCATCAACGTGGTATGAGAGCAAACCCCAGTAAAGTCAGAAAATATTTATTTATTAAATTTATATGCTGCTCATCTCACTACTGATACTATTTCAGAGTAAATGTTTGTGGGATTATTCTACCTTTCAATCAGGTGGCAATAAGAAAGAGAGCCAGATGTTAAGGCTATCATATCAGGGCAAAAAAAAATATGGATGACCACTACATGACATCAGAGAGCTATAGAATAGTCTAATTAACTCCTATCAAGTGATCATCTGAATTTTTCCAGATGATATGTGATAGGCCTAACATGTATGTTTCTTTTTAAAAACCAAGTTAAGTATTTCTTAATGCCAGTCTGTTCAGATCAATAGTGTTAAACGTGTACAAATCCTATCTACCTAACCCTGAGCTATTAAATTTGAGCACTAGAGAGGAGAGGAATGCAGTCCTATACAAGTCTATTCTGGTGAGTCTCATTGATTTGAATGGGATTTACTTGTAGGTAAATCACTATAGGACAGCGGTCCACAATCTTTGCAGCTTGGCGACATGGCTGGGGAGGAGGGGAACTGGGCCACATTAGTGGTGGACCGCTGCGCATGTGTACATGTGTGCACCGCACATGTGTACCAGCCCGTTGCCAAGTTGCAAGTAGAGTATGGCCCAGTAGTGGGCGCAGCAAGGGATTGGGAACCCCTACTATAGGATACCAACCCTTGTTCTTGGAAGTTCTCTGTGTTTGCAGAATATAGTCTTTGAGGCAGAGATAATGTGATTTACTCTCACAGTTGCTTATTATGGAAGTAAATCCTACTGAGCAGCTGACTTTTAACCACCAACTCTTATGTGAGATTGTGCCCACTGCACTCTGAGAATTGGGACACTCTGTTTTATTTTATTTCTCTCCTCTCCCCTGCTTTTAATAATGAGTTGCGTATCAAGCCCCTGTGTAATTAGGAGTATCCATTTGCACCGCAGAGAGATGTTACAGTTGTTAGTTAAAGTATTCTATGTTCTAAGCTCTATTTTGACACTGCCTTTAAACAAGTGCTGTTAATAGCTACTCTGGGGAGAGAAGGTGGCAGTATTTTGAATGAGGTCTACACCTACGGATAAGCAATTGCATTGGGGTCAGTAGGACTGATATGATGTAAGCTGCTGTAGGAATGTGTCCTCTTGATGGAAGATGAGCAAAAGATGTAGGAGGCTATCTTGGCAATCTACTTGGCACTGGATTTGGTTGTACTGTACAGTCCTGTTTGTTAACCTGTGGACCTTGGAATGTCTTGCAAGGTTGAATCCTGTCTACTGAAGAGCTTCAAAGAAATTGCACCCTCTGGAGTGAGGTGGTGGGTTCTCTCTTGCCAGTTCTTTGATTCCAGGGAGTGGTCTGTGGGATTGGAGAAAAAGTGCCAAGGTTTAAGAAAGGGGAAAAGACACTTTTTGGTAGTGCTGTGCCCATCCCACAGATCATCCCATGGGATTGGACAATTGGCACTGTCCAATGTTCCTACTTGCTCTATGTTCTTTTTTAAAAAAATATTTTTTTAGTTAAGAAGACTAGCGTGTCTACTTTTTTTAATTTCCAAGAATGCCCATGGGCTTCATGTGCTGAACTTCACTTGGAAGCATCCAAGAAAAGGGACAAAAGAAAGATGGAGTGGTAGGAAGGAAGCTGAACAGGTTGTCTTCGAATGAATGGGCATTTTTCACAGTCCTAAAATGTTGCCATCAGTTTGGTCTCCAAAGTATCTGTTTTGTTTTATAAGTAGACCAAGGTGGATTACAATCTGTATTCGTTAAAAAAAAAAGAGAGAGTTTAATGCACAGATACTGTCTGTTTGTCCTGTTGAAGTGGGCAGAACTTGTCTTGAAAGTACCGTAGAGTGGATTCAGATGGCAGATGATCTGCAGATTCCTTGATGGTGACAAAAAAAAATCTTGTTAATGCTTCTAAGTCATATTATGGGACATTTTGATATGTAGACCATACTCTGTGATTCATCATAACTCTGGGGTGAATGTCACTTCAGGGCCTTCTACTGGGCAGAAAAAATCCATAGACTGCCTCACTCTCTCATTGTCATTGTTGATGGAACACTTGGAGCTCAAAATCTAATTTAGGCCTTGCTGATTAACCCTGTGTGTATAGTATTCTGCAAAACCAAGGATATTTATGGCACTGAAAGTAGCATTGCTATCTCTACGATCTCTGTGCTTTGAAAGAACCACATATTATACAAGGCCAATTGTACATGGAAGTGTGGGGGAATTATAGATTTGATGTGGTAGTGTAGAACAAGGATCTCCAATCTTGGCAATTTTAAGACTTTTGGACTTCAACCTCCAGAATTCTGGGAGTTGAAGTCCACAAGTCATAAAGTTGCCAAGGCCAGAAGCCCCTGGTATGAAAAGAAGAGATTCTTCTCCTGAAATTCTCACAATGGTAGGAGAATACCAAGTCCTCTTGTGCTCTTAGCTTTATAAAGCATGGTAATTACTTACTTTTTCCCCCCTTTTAGCTTTTTCAATAAAGGAACCTAAAGAAGCAAAACAGGCATGGGGGTATGTTCCTGTCAGAAGCAATGCAAGCATGTTCTGGTGGTTGTACTATGCAGACAGTCCCACTCAGAATTTCACACAACTTCCTCTTATCTTATGGCTGCAGGTAAGTTGGCGATAAGGCTTTGATGTGAGCTGTATGGAAGGATGATAGCATCAGAAGTAGAGTTGAACCATGTAAAACCTTGCAGTAGAAGGTTTCTAAAACCTTGAATAAATCCTTTAGAGAGGAAAAATAAAGTTTAAATTTAGATTCAGTCTTGTAACATCAACTGATTGCATTGGAGGGGCAGGGGTGGCGGGGAATTGAGTCATTGTTAATTCCTGGTTCCTGCCTGGAACAGTCCTGCAGGTTTTTTGCAAGATTTCAGAAGCGGTTTGCTCTTGCTTGCTTCCTAGAGCTGAGAAGATGGGACTGGCCCAAGATAATTCAGGTAGTCTCATGCCTAAGGCAGAACTAGAATTGTCAATTTCTGGATTTTTAGCCAATGCCTTGACCACTACACCAAATTGGCTCTCATTGCATATTAATTGTATCTCATTGCCTTAATTATTCTAATTCAAGCTATTAAAAGCAGCTGAAAAATCAGAAATATTATTTCTGATGCACCACACAAAGCTGTAGTGTAAATTGTTTGGATTTGTAAGTTGCTTGGAGTGTTTTATGAATTTAGCCATTGCTTTTGAAATATAATTCACAAAATAAGGCAGGCTAATTGCAAACAATGATAACTTTGTAACATTCTAAGCCAAAATTGAGGAAGCCATATTATGGTAAGCTTCCTTGGAGCTCTATCCTACTTATTATATGTTGCAAGTTAAGCTACTTTGTGTATGAAACTTGTCACTCCTTACTAATATTTCCCTTGTCTCAAACTACGGAAGCTTTTAAAGATTCAAAACGGTGATCACTGGCTAAATATAGTGGAGGATGTGCAGCAAGTAAAGAATTGATAACAGTAATGCAAAATGTAAGGGCAAAAATTAAATGATGGCATAACATAAATGAGCTATAGAATTTCATTCTGGCATTCCTATGCCTAAACAGGTAACTCAACTTACAGCCATTTATTTAATGACAGTTTAAAATTACAACAGCACTGAAAAAAACGTGATTTATTTTTACACTTATGACTGTTGCAGGATCCCCGTGTTCACATGATCAAAATTTGGACCCTTGGCAATCGGCCTGTATTTATGAAAGTTGCAGTGTCCCAGGGTCATGTGATCATCTTTTGGGACCTTCTAACAGGCAAAGTCAATGGGGAAACCAGATTCATTTAACAATTGTGTTACTAACGTAACAACGGTAGTGATTCACTTGACAAGTGTGGCAGGAAAGGTCGTAAAATGGGGCCAAACTCATTTAACAATTGTCTTGCTTAGCAACAGAGATTTTGGACTCAATGGTGGTCATAAATCAAGGACTATCTGTAGCAAGCAGGAATTTAGCTGGGAAAGTTCAGAATTTCTGACTGCTAGGCTGCTGCTTAAAGGCCTGCATTATCTTTCCCATGTGGACTAAGATAGCACTGGGAAGCCGTTTCTAAGAAACAGTTCTACAGGATTCTATTTGTAGATTTGCATTAACAGCCTTGGAAGGAAACCATTATGTTCATCACACCTCCTTTTCTTGGGAGATAAATGAAAAATAACATAGCAAGAAAAATGGTTGATGTTTTTCTCTCCATTTCTCATCTCTGTGTTTTTCATAGGGAGGCCCAGGAGCTTCAGGTTGTGGATATGGAAATTTTGAAGAGATTGGCCCTTTAGATACTGATCTAAAACCAAGGAAGACAACTTGGGTAAACTGTCTTAACTTATACTGGGAAGATTGGGTGTGTTCTGGCAGGCCATGTTAAAAAATATATACTTTTTGCAGTATGCTGATTTTTGTTGCAGACTTTGAGATCTTTCTTGCTCATTTTCCTCTAGGAGCCCATACACAGTATGCTTCTGAAGCTGTCAGTTATTTAAAGTGATCTTACCCCTACACTTCATCCAGCAGCCTAATACAGGGGTGTCAAACTTGCAAAGACACATTGTTGTCACGTGACGTATCGCAGCTTTCCCCCCCCCTTCGCTAAAATGGGGGTGGGCGTGGCCAGCACGTGACACATCCAGGCTGCGAGTTTGACACCCTGGCCTAATAGATTACTTGTCTTTATGCTAGGAGATCTTTATTTGCTCTATTTTTCTGTATTGTTCTTGTGTTAAAGAAACCAAGTAAGACTTTAGGTGTTACTTCATATTTCATATTCATATTTAAAGAAGTGAATTTTACCAGTACTTGTAAGACTGCTCTTCCACTTTCCTGAAAGCCAAAAACAAAAATGTGTATATTAAAAATATATATTACAAGTATATATATATGCATGTGTACAAAACAACATACACATAAACACACAGACAGATACATAAGGATAATTTATAAAACCTTAAAAGAATGAACTTAAAATTGGGAAAAATTATTGTTTTGAAACACAAACACTGGAAGGTTTGACTCTGTTGCAAGTATTAACAACTGAAATTAAGAGACTTCTATGGCTGAGGTTGCCTATGAATGAGAATAGCTAATCCTAGGACATATTTAATAAATGCCTCTTGGCTTAAAATATAGCAATAATGAGTAGTGCGCTACCCTTTCAATGCAAAATAAGCTCTCTCATCGTGCCTCTGTGGGAATCTTTGGAAAAGTCCTCCTTTGTCATCCCTTTTAAGTATGCTGCTCTCCCTCTCTCTGTGTTGCTGATGTCAGTGTTTCCTTTGGGTGGTGTAGCTGCAGGCAGCAAGTCTTCTCTTTGTTGACAATCCTGTTGGCACTGGATACAGTTATGTTAATGACTCCCTTGCCTACGCCACTGATCTCGGCATGGTCGCTTCGGATATGATGGTGGTTCTCCGAGAGTTCTTTAAATCAAAGGTGGAATTCCAGGCAAGTACAGTCGGAACAGCCCATGGAATGCCTTATTGTCCATTATCACTGTATGAAGTCCCTAAGCTACACATTAGCCCTATTCAAACATTGCAAAACTGAAGTACTCATCACACAAGCCTTTTCCTTAAGCTCTGCTGACATCTATCAAATGGCTTTGGAGATGGATGTTTACAGAACGAAACCTTGCTTAAGTTCGCTTAAAATTGCACATGTGCTGACTTCCTTGCAAATCGGCGTCTTGAACAATTGGTATCTTGGTTCATGCCAAAGCCAGTCCACTAATACAGTGGTCCCCAACCCCCGGTCCGCGGACCGGTGCCGGGCCGTGGAGTACCTGGCACCGGGCCGCGTAGCGGCCGGGGGACATGAACGCTGCAGCGCAAAGGCTCCTGGGCCGTGCGCAATGGGCCGTGCGCAAAAGCTCCTGGGCCGTGCCCCCACCCCTGCGCGCGCTCAGCGGGCCGCGGCGATAAAAAGGTTGGGGACCACTGCACTAATAGTTATGCTTGCAAAGGCTCCTGCAGACTGTCATCCTGAACATTATCTGTTACAGGGCAAGGCCTGTTCAGAGTGTTGACATAGCAGGAATTCACAATGTGAGTGTGCCCAAAAGCTAGATTTAGGCCCCCTTTCGCCCCCCTTCAGTGTATCTCAGAACATGGGGCAAATGATGGTATATTGAAAGGTTCCTCATTCCTGCCAGTGTAGAGATTGCTCCCTCCTGAAAATTGGCCATTTAATGGAGTGATTTATAATCCTAGACCTAATTTTGGCCAAAAAGATTTAGGCTGTAGGATTAGTCCTGGGAAGCAGGGTTTTATGATCAGAGGGAGATATGAAAGGTCCTTGTAAATTCATTGTGTTGGCCGGTCATCAGAATGGTGTGGATTCTCTAACTTCAGGGGGAAATAAAATTAAATGTTAGGTTTTTTTAAATTTTTGGAATGAAATCCCAAATGTCCCAGTTGGTGTGTAAATGACTTCATTAGGTGTACAGGTAATTCTCGAGTTATGACGGTTGCTTAGCATTACAAGAGACACCCCCCCAAAAGGTACCTATACTTATGACCATAATTCAAAGTTCTGACAACAACGCCCCCCTCCCCCCCCCAGTAGTCACATAATTGCATTTTGGGTGCTTGGCAACCAGCTTGCATTTATGTGATTTATAATGCTTTTTGCCAGAAACCAGGGTTTGCTTAGTGACACTGGCATTTGCTTAATGATTGCAGTGAAAAATATAAAATTGAGCATGATCATTTGACCTGCTTGGCGTTGTGCAACTGTAATTCTGGGCTCAGTTACATTCAGAAGTTGCGGGGTACCTGTTATCTGCATTGTAATGAATCCTATGTCTGTGGAATGGGGCAGGAGAGAAATCCAAAGGGGGGGGGGTCTTTTACTTGGCTTTATAGCTGCAGATGGAGGCCATTTTGTCTTGCTCTTCTGAGGAAAAAATTCCCTGAAGTGTTTATGGGCATCAAGCAAGAGGAAGAAAAGAGTGAAGGTTTATTTATGTATTGAGTAATTCTTTTATTTTTCTGGAAAGCGTGTAAAGGGTTCAGTTGCTCAATCTCTTAATTTTTTAAAATGCATTTTTCCTTTCAGACAATCCCCTTCTACATCTTTTCCGAATCTTATGGAGGAAAAATGGCAGCTGCAATTGCTCTGGAAGTTCATAAGGTAAAGTTGATCTTTTCCTATCAGAGAAAATGTATTCTCTCAAGCTAGCTTGGATTTCTTCTGCAAGATCCTGAGGGAAGAATCTCTCTTAATAAACGGGGCACAAAAAATCCTCCTCAAATCAAGATTAGTTCTTGATTAAGTGTTGTTTAAAATGGAAGTGTTTTGCTACTGCTTCTGGGATATATTCCTCACCTCCTAGTCTAGTCTATGACCCTGGGCTTTCCCAGTATTAACTAAATTGGACTGCCTTTGCTTTTTTCAGATCAGTCAAAATTGGCTAGGTGCTGTTACCTCTGATGTGAAATATATACATGTTTCTATGTCAAGTGTGAAAGATGAGGTCAAGTGGTTCAGTTAACTGATTTATTGCTATAGCCCAGTGGTTCTCAACCTTTTTTTCTTCACGGACCCCCTTTAAATACCTTTTGTGGCCATGGACCATGGCCATGAATCACCAAGACTTAATCCAAGATTTAAATCATAACATTGCTTCAAGCCTGTGACAACATTGCGGCCTCCCAGGGATCTGCGGATCACAGGTTGAGAACCACTGCTATAGCCTATGCACCAGAATTTTCTCAACTATCAGCACCTCCTTAGATTTAGATAGGAGTCAATGGCACTTAACGTATGTTGGACTTGGTCAGCTTGTGGCCACGTAAGGATTCTAGGCTACTCCCTCTTTCACCCCAACCCTAGGTTCTTCCAGTCCTTCTCTCACGTCCCAATATGTTTTCATCCAGTCATCTGATCTTGGAATTTCCACTAAGGATTGCTTAGAGTGGGCCATGGCCAGTTGGCCACAGCCACCCCTAGAAAACCTTGGTTGTCCCCCCTCCCGGGGCATCTCCAAACAATCGACAGATACAAATTATTGTTGTATCTGATATCTCGAGAGTAATTGCAGCTGTTGAACAGTTTATTTTAATGTTAATGATACCAGTTAAATTCAATTAAATCTTGCTTATTGACCCGATCCTATCCAGTTCTTTGCCCCTTCCTTCCCCTCAGGTGGATGTGTGGATCTTGTATGTGACTCAGGCAACAGGTGTGTTCCTCAGGCCAAAAGATATTGTACATCCCTGCTGCAACCAGTTGTGTAAGCACATGTCGGCAGTAGGAGCCATTGGTTAGCAAGTGATTGAGCAGCTACTCTTACTTTAACTGTTATTCTGATAATATGGAAGAAAATTGATGTGGGAGGGAGGATGGAGGGAGGGAAGGAAGGAAAATGTAATGTACAAACTACATAATGTCAAGTATATTTTTGATTGAAGAGAGGGAGGACCAAGCTCTCCAGATAAGTGTCTCTCCCAGATTTGATTCCTGGCATGGATTTGATAACTAGCACAATGGAGGCAAAGAATGTTAGCACTGAGCTAAAATAAACTCTGCATAGGCAGCAGAGTCCACAGAAGTGCGTTAAAACTGGCAAGATGGTGAGCAGTCCATCACAAGGCAAGCCCCGCCCCTTTTGTTATTGCACAAGGTTTCAGAGAGTCGAGTCCTGATCTTGACACACACATAGGCCTGCATGTATGAGATATTGCTAGATATTTGATTGCTTTTAGCCAAAAAAGCACTTTCCTTAGCTATAGCATCAGCTAAGAAATCAACCTTTAATAATCTGCAATTCCTGTTTGCCTTCTTCCTGTCCTTAAGGGAAAGTGCTTAAAATATATATGGTACATTTACCTCAGAATAATTAGGCTTTAATTAAACCTTAATTCTGTTTTTTTTTTAAGGCTATTGAAGCTGGAACAATCAAGTGCAATTTTCATGGAGTAGCCCTTGGTGATTCATGGATTTCTCCTCTAGGTATAGTCATGTGAAGCTAACATATACATATTGTGTATGTTCCAATGTATTTCTTGCCTCTTTCTGGCAAAATCTGAAAAAAAATATATGAATGATTTGATATTCAGTACCAGCAACCAAGTTCAAATGACATTGTAGAGGCTTGGTTTTATCCCAACTTGACTTCAGGTGCCTTAGAATTAAAATCCTCTTCTCTCCATCTTATCTTATACTGAAATTACTGTAAAGAAGAATGTCGTTACTAGATACACAATGGCAGTTGTCAGTAAGAATCTGGGTTGGGCTTCCCATGTGATTTGAAAATAGTCCAGAGAGTTTACCCCCCCCCCACTCAAAATCTTGGCTATTCTTCAGAATGTGTAATAGCAACATGAATAAGATCTTTTTAAAAATGTGAATAGTTTAATGCCATTCTCCTCAGCCTGGTAGCATCAAGATATGTTAGCTAGAATACAAGCCTTTCAGCACCCAGCCAGCATGGCTATCCCTGCAATCTGGGGATAGTGGAAAGCTTGTATCAATGCTCCTGGAAGGCACCAGATTTTGATATGTTGGAATAATAAACAGTTAGATGGATTTAGAGATTTTGTGATGCTCCACTTTAAAAGCCAGGAGTTCTTTCCCTGCACTGATGCTGCTGCCTCTTCCTTTTCCTTCTTCTCCTTTTGAAAAGCTGCCAATTTTTAAATTGCTAGGATTTATTTTATATAAGCTCTTATTTTGTCTTGATGCAGAAAATGCTCAGGAACTTAAAAATTTCCTGCCTGCTTTAAATACAGAAAGATAAAAAAGATACTAAAGTTTGTGCCCACTAGTCTGTTTTATTTTTTAAAAAAAATCAATCTTAATTTTTGTTTCTTTTAGATTCCGTGCTTGCTTGGGGGCCTTACCTATATAGCACTGTAAGTATATATTCCATATTTTTTTTAAAAAAAAATATTAATGTTCTTACAACTACAAGGAAGAATAGAAAAACCCAAACTTTGGAATACAGTTCATACAAAACATAAAACTGAATAAAACTAATAATAGAAGGAGAAAAAGAAAAATAATTTGAACTATTCTACCTTAATATATAGGGTAAATAAACTTTACTATTATGCAAATATATCAAAATTCATGCAACTTTGTTTTTAAACCACAATTTAATGCTTGGCCATACAACATCTAATGAACCTGTTTTGCTGCCAATAAAGAGTCAATTCAAGGTTGGGAGTCAATAGATTTCACTGAGCCTAGCTTGAAGCAGATGCTTCCTTTCTTTTCTTTCTTTTTTTATTCCTCTGCTTTTTGACTATTCATGAGAGTTACCATGTTGGATCAGCTTCTGGGGAACTCCGAAGATGGGATTGAAATCAGCAGGTTCATACAATGTTACGACCAATATTGATCGCTTATAAACACAGTAAACTCTTGGGCCTCAAAGGCTATATCTGCTCTCAATGCAGTCTTGGGATCCATTTATGTGTCCATACCTGCAAGCACATATCCTCCATGTGCTCCCCTTTCTGTATAGTTGCTCCAGCTGCCCTTCTTAACTGTTTTTGATCCCTGAAGATGCCACCTAATGGCATTGGCATTAAACCTGGCTTCAGTAGCAGGTCTCAAGTGTGCTGGGATTTATCTACCCCGCAAATAAGCCATAAGATAAGATCCATTTAAAAAGAAACTATATAAAGCTTTGGTGGTAAATACAGACACTTTAGAGCATCACAATTCCCTTTACCAAAGACTTCTTATAGTTTCTGTTTGTTGACTTTGCTTAGATTAATAAAGCCAATCTACCAGTTCTCTAATATTGTTGAGCATTCCAGGTAGCCTCTACATTTTCTTTTAAGCCATTGCAAATAATATCTTGTTAAAATACACTTTGACATCGGGACAGTTTACTGCCCAACTTATATTCCTTTGAAAGTACTTGAAGTTGAGGCATTATATGCAATGTTGGTTCTGAATTTCTTTTCTTTCCTTTCTGCTCCGTCCCCCACCCCACTCCTTGTACTGCAGTCTTTCCTAGATGACCAAGGCTTGAAAGAAGTCACTAATGCTGCCAAGAAGATCCTGAATGCAATGAATACAGGGGCATTTAAGCTTGCTACCCTGCTTTGGGATAAAGCAGAGGATATCATAGAAAAGGTAAAGAGATAGATTTAATTGCTTATGTGCCATCAACTTGATGGCAGCTTCTAGAGACCAGGCAGACAGATTTTGTCTCTGACAATTTGTCTCCATCTTAGTCTTCACGGTCTCCCATGGTGCAATGATCATTGCTGTAACTGAATCCATCCATCCATCCATCCATCCACCTCATCATCCTCTTCTTTCCCTTCCTTTCCATTTTCCCAGCATTTTAGACTTCTAAGAGAGCTAGGTCTTCACTTAATGCAGTGGTTCCCAACCTTTTCTATACCCTGCACCACTAGAATGCTTCTGATATATTCTCGCACCCCTTACAAAAGTAAATAATTATATGCATATAATTACACATATACACTATAATTTTGAAACTTCTAAGCCAGGTTTTCACAACCCCTGGAATATCATCTCACACCCCCAGTTGGGAACCTCTGACTTAATGTAAAGTCTAGTTACTAGAGTTTTGACTGAGACCTTTGGATGGATTTCTTCTACGATCCGTTGGTTTGTTTTCTTGGCTATCTATTCTAGGGTATTCTCAGGAGTCCTTTTCAACCCCAAACCTTAAAGCAAACCATGTATTTTGTTGCAGGATCTCTATTCTTAATGTCGTTTCTTTTCCTGTCTAGAACACAAATGGCGTGAATTTCTATAACATTCTAACCCCTGAATCTACGAAGGACACAGCTCTTTCATCCGCTACAACTGAAACCATCCCATTTTGTAAGTTGAGTGAGAACTCTGGATTGCCAGAAATCTCTTTTTAGCAAGACATGGTAGTTTTAGAAGATGTAGCTCACGGTCTCCAAACTTGACAATTTTAAGACTTGTGGACTTCAACTTCCATGCTGGCTGGGGAATTCTGGGAGTTGAAGTTCACAAGTCTTAAAGTTGCTCAGTTTGGAGAGTCCTGGTGTGTAGCCCCTTTACAGATGCTAAAATGGGCTTAGTAGTTGTTATATTTTTCCACAGAAAATCTTTAGATTTAATGTCTGAATTCACACACACTAGCCCACTCTCTATATATATATACCGTATTTTTCGGAGTATAAGACACACCTTTTTCCCCCAAAAAAGAGGGTGAAAATCTGGGTGCATCTTATACTCCAAATGTAGCCCCACCCAGCTTCTCAAACGGAGGTTTCATCAGAAACAAAGCTTCAGAAAAGAAGCCCCCAAACAGAGCTTCAGAGGCTTTTTTTCTGAAGCTCTGTTTCAGAGGCTTTCAGAGGCAGGAAAAAAAGTTTTTTCTGAAATGGAGTTTCAGAAGTTTCAGAGGCAGGAAAAAAAGCAAAAAAAAAAAAAAAGCAAGGCACAGAGCTCACAACCAAGGAACCTGTTGCTAAAATTCACCTCTGGGAACAGCTGATTGGGGGTATTCCGGGAGGCCGATCTACCTGCCAATCAACTTTTTTCTTATTTTCCTCCCCAAAAACTAAGGTGCATCTTATACTCCAAAAAATACGGTATTTCCCAGGATCTGGGGGGTAGGGGGCTTACGTGATATGCCTATTGCAACTATGCAATGGAGATCAGAGCCAAACAGGAAGTAGCAACCTTCAAATTCCCTTTCACTGCTCCAATGCTCTAAATGAAGTTTGCTGAAGTAAAGAAAGTTTCAGGAACTCAGCAACAGATTCTTTCATGAAAAGACTATTAACTGATTAACTAAACAAGCAATTGTTCTGTTATTGTTATATTGGATCTCCATATAAGTCCCAAGCACTACAGACTGCCATCTTCCAAACTACACAAAATGCTTGAGCTGAGCATTACAAAATTAATACATTAAAAAATAGGGCAAATATATTTTTCTTATTAGAGAACATGTCATTGAAGTCTTGTCAACAGTTTTATTTTTTGCTTGATGAATGGTGTAGGCTTTTGCAATTTATGGCTATAATATATATAAAGGATTCAGGATTTGACAAAGGAGTGCTAGACAGGTTCTAGTGTTCCCTACTTACTCCTGAATGGATCTGATTACATTTTGGTAGGCTGCCATTGATTTACTGTTCAGAGGTCCTGAACAGATGGCTCTTGGCATGACTGGAGTCACATCTCTGTGGTTCAGAGTTCTTTTAATTTCAATTTAATTGCACATTGATCTGTTGCCATATTGGGGTTTTTTTTGTTTGTTTTATTTTTTATATTTATGATTTGGTTGTTGGAATTGGGGGGGGGGGTGGGGGGGGGGGGGAGAGAGAGAAAAAAAATCTTCTGCACCAAAGATTAGAGCATCTATCTTTTTTAAAAAAAAATAAAAATACAAGAGGTTCTCTTTCCAGGTAAACCTCAAACACGGTTTCTTTGTCTTCTTTCTTCAGTAAAATTGTTCCAGCGTCATGTGAAAAATCAAATTAAAGACAAGCTGAATGACCTGATGAATGGGCCCATCAGAAAAAAGCTGAAAATAATTCCAGACCATGTCAAATGGGGAGGTATTGTAATATCTATCGGCTCCGTCTAATACTCATATAGTTTGTTGTACAGTATATCATAGCTCACTAACAAATGAAGAACTCTACAATGAAGCTTTTCTCTTAGGAAACTATATTTTTATATTAGATATGATTGAACTTCAATGGCAAAATGTGCTTTATCTGCAGTAACTGAACTGATATACTGTCTTTAGGGGGAACTGGGGATATTTATTTATTTATGCTACCCATCTCACTGATACAACTCTGGGTGGTTTACAATTACATCCAAAGTGATGGTTCTTCTGAATTTAAATGGAAAGGAGTTTTTTTTATATATATACACTTTAACCTATAAAAGTGACATTAAAAGAAAAATGTTCTGCAGTTAATTATACATGTAAGAAAGCAACCTCAACAGTGTTAATAAAAGTTAAGATATTGAGCCTGGATCTCTTGAGTTTAACCTCTGTCCTGGAAGGAGATTTTAGGCCAGCCAGACTTTGCAGAGTTAATGTTGCAGAAAAAAATTGGAGGAAGAAGTGCTGACTATGTTGCCTTAAACATCTGGAGAAAATCAATACAGGGCTATAAATCTGAATATCATTTATTTCATAAGAGATGGTGATGGAGCAAGGTTTTTAGCAAATAAGCTTCCCTCTAGAAGTACTAACATACCAGTCATCACCTTTCTCTTAACATGGGAACTCTCTAGACAGCCTTCCGAATTTGGCACTGATATGTAGAATTCAACTCCTAGAATTCTTAGCAGTGGCCATGTCATTTGGGAAATTCTGGGAGTTGAATCTGGATGGGAGTGTTACAGAAGATTGGAGGAATGACTTAGACTGGCCTGCTATTCAAAATCGTCCCTCAGAACAGGAGTCTACAAGCATGGCAACTTTATGACTTATGGGCTTCAACTTGCTGGCTGAGGAATTCTGGGAGTTGAAGTCCACAAGCCGTAAAGTTGCCAAGGCTGGAGACCTCTGCCTTAGAATGTTTGGATTTTCTATACTGTATATTTGTAATAATAACTCCCTCTTTTTGACTGGAAGCTGCAATTCTAGTTCTCTGTACATGTGAAGATTTTTTTTCATCTCTAGGCAAAGCATCTTTTCATCAAATGATAACTCCCCAAATTCTTTCGAGAACACTACAGTGATTATTAAACTGACACAAAATTGTGTTTATGTCGGAGTCTTACTTCGTTGGGGGTGCTACTTGGAACCCTGACAGTTGTCTCATTTGCTAGATTTCCAATTACAATCAGGTATAGGAAATTTTTTCCCCTCAGATTAAAACCAATTGGGTTCTAAACCAGGTTGAAGTTAATTACTGTACTATTTCAAATTCTACTTGCAACCATGAAGTTTTTTAGTAAGAACTTCTGGGTGGCTCTGAGATTCAGGTTATAAACCCCAAGGCCCCCCCCTTTTTTTTCTCCACTTTTTAATGCTGGCTCCAAAATTCAGTAGTGAATTGTAGTTTCCTCCAATTTAGAAACTTAATTTGAAAAGTTATTTTTTGCAGGTTAAAATTAAAAGAAAAAATGTACTTTACTCCAACCCCCAACTGCAGAAAGAAATGAAAATACCAGATCCTGGCCATGAGGCAAATGTATCTTTTTTGCATCTCTCTCTCACTCTTTCTCTCTCTCTCTCTCTCCCTCCCTCCCCCTCTCCCTCCCTCTCCCTCCCTCCCTCCTCTCTCCCCCTTTATCTCTCCCTCTCTCACCCTCTCTTCCCCTTTGTCTCTCTCTTTTTCTCCCTTTCTCTCTCTCTCTCTCTCTCTCACACACACACACACATACACACAGAGACACGACCCTTTTCTTTATCAATAACACTGAGTATGACCTTCAGACGGCATAAGGTTATCTGCCTCTTCATACTCTTTTGTTATCACTTTACAGGGCAATCAACAGGTGTATTTATGAATATGGCTGAAGACTTTATGAAAAATGCAATTGATATTGTAGACAAATTGCTGGAGGCCAATGTGAATGTCACTGTATACAATGGGCAGCTGGATCTCATCGTTCCTACAATAGGTAAGGGTGTTTTTTTTTCATGGGAATGAGCTTGGTGTAGACAGCAAAGCAGGTCATTATTATTAGGTGCAACTGTATACAGGTAGTCCTTGACTTATGACTATCATGGAGCCTGCCTATCATGATCATAACTCGTGAAGGTCCTAAAATGGGTCAGTTATGTGACTGACCTGATTTTACAGTCTTTTTTGTGGTATTCATTAAATGAATCTGCACTTAAGTGAACCAATGGTTCACAATGGGTGTGTTTCAGGGGTGAAATGCTCCCGGCTCGGGCGAGTAGGTAGCGATGGCGGCGGGCAATTTGGAGAACCGGTAGCAAATATCCCTGCCCCCGCCCCCCATGCTCAGCTGAGCCGTGCAATCATCAGAGGCTTTTTTTCTTTTAAATGCCTCTGACGAGCCAAGCTCTGACAATCTCAGCTGAGTTGCCTGATCGGCAAAGGGTTTTTTAAAAACCCTCTGACGATCAGGCAACTCAGCTGGGATCGTCAGAGCCTTTTGAAAGCATTTTTTACATGGTTTTACATGTAAAAAATGGTTTAAAAGTAAAAAAAAAATTGGCCATGTCCACCCAGTCACATTACCCCCCCTCCCCCACCAAGCCACGCCCACAGAACCGGTAGTAACAAATTTTAGATTTCACCACTGGTGTGTTTTTGTCAAAAACCAGAAGTAAATGTCAAAAACATCATGAAACATCAAGCAAGATAGGAAAGTGAAAAGTTCAGAAGCAAAAAAAGTAAAAAATAAGTGAGTGGATGGTAGAAGGATGGTAGATGGCATAGCTCTAGAACAGTGATGGCTAACCTTTTTGCCATCACGTGCCAAAACGGGGGCGCGCGTGCCCACACCTGTAATTCTATGCCCCCCTGTGCCCTGCCCCCTCATGCAACCCCCCCGCACTCCCCCTGCTTTTGGCACGTGATGGCAAAAAGGCTACCGGTGAGCCCGGTAGGTCTGTTTTTTGCCCTCCCCAGGCTCCAGAAGCTTTCTTGGCGCCTGGGGAGGGCAAAAACGGCTTTCCCCATTCCCCAGAGGCCCTCCGGAGGCTGGAAACAGCCTGTTTCCTGACTTTCGGTGGGCCAGGAAGACCCATTTTTCACTCTCCCCAGGCTCCAAGGCTTTCTTGGAGCCTGGGGAGGGTGAAAACGGCCTTCCCTACCCCCCCGAGGCCCGCCAGAGGCCGGAAACGGCCCATTTCCCGACTTCTGGTGGACCCAGAAGGCCTGAAAATCAGCTGGCTGGCATGCACATGCACGCTGCAGCTGAGCTAGGACAATGCTCGCGTGCCCACAGATATGGCTCTGTGTGCCACCTGTAGCACCCGTGCGATAGGTTCGCTATCATGGCTCTAGAAGGAAATGGGGCATACAGAACCCAGAAATAGTAGAAAGAAGTGAGCTGGGTTAGAAGAGAGTATTGAAGAGGGTAATACAGTCAAACATGAACGTTATCAGAGACTAAAGCTTTTGTATAGGAGGGATGTTTTGCTAGGAGATAGGATCAAGGCATTGTCTTGTGTATAAATAAGCAGTAGCTAGAATAAGCTTGTTTGTAGAGTTTATACTCTCCCTTTCATCTTAAAATGGGATTCCTTCATGTGAGTAGCTATTTGGATTGCTTTTAATGATGAGATGACCCTTAGCTGAAGTCCAAGTGGTGGATGTATTTTCTAAGCCGTCTCCATTTCTACCTTGCTCCATTTTGAGATTTTATCGGTCTTTGCAGGCATATGCTAAACTCTAATAGATTCTTCTTCTTTTCAGTTGCAGTTTATTAACTCAGGTTAAACAATTAACATACAGTATAACATTAATCTAGGGAAACAGTGTTCTGGTTTTTTTCTTTAATGAGATATGTAAACCAGATCACTGTATTATGGTCAACAAATCCTTGGTGGCACAGCAGACTAAAGTGCTATTAAGTAACACCAGCTGCCTGCAATTACTGCAAGTTCAAATCTCACCAGGCTCAAGGTTGACTCAGCCTTCCATCGTCTCGAGGTAGGTAAAATGGAGACCCGGATTGTGGGGGCAATAAGCTGACTTTGTATAAAAAAGAACACCACTTACGGGGGTCTGAAAGCCCTACTAAGCAGGTATATACAAAAGTATGAAGGCTATTGCTTAACGCATTGTAAGCCGCCCTGAGTCTCCGGAGAAGGGCGGCATATAAATCGAACCAATAAATAAATAAATAAATCCAGGTGAACAAATCTAGGCTGAGTAATAGGTATGAATGCAGCCTGTGTTATCCGTCCACTCAGCTGGGTTTAGTCTGAGTTCTTGCGGTGGACAGCTGTGTTGGTCCTTTTGAGCAAAAGTGACTGGAGTTTTCAGGTCCGTTTGATCAAAAGCATTCACAACAATGTTGGGTAAACATAGACTAAGTTATGGAGTAATTAAATCTCCTGGCACTGGGCAAAGACGGTATGCTTATATTTAGATTACAGTTAGATTATCTTCTTGACTAAAGTAAATCTTTCAGTAATATAAATAAGCATATTTATTTATGTATAAAATTTATTCATTACCTACTCCCAAGGGATCCTAGGCAATGTACCAGTGACTACACACCATTTCCCACGTTTATACTGTTCTTTTCTATTCGGTGACAATATTGATTCCCAGACACTGGGATAAGATTGCTACCTCAAGGTCTGGAAAGCAAATTGCAATGAGTGGTAAATTAGCATCAGCCAGTTAAACCATGATGATTTCAAAGATGAGTTCCTGGGCAATGGTAGCAATGATTGAGATAGCCAACATGACAGCAGGTGCCTGGCTATACATTACACACACACACACACACACACACACACACACACACTGCTAAGATTACTGTATGTGTTAAGTGTTTTACTAATTTCACAGTGGGCCATTGTGGGCAGTTGCAACCAAGATTTTTAATAACTCTCTAAGGCCGTGATGGCAAGCCTATGGCACGTGTGCCAGAGGTGGCACGCAGAGCCCTCTCTGTGGGCACGCACACCATTGCTAGATGCTCTTGTGGTTTCTGGCACACCAGCCAGCTGGTCTTCACAGGTGCCAGAGCACTGGAGAACGGCCTGAAAACCAGCCAAAAAACCAGCCATTTTTCGGGCCATTTTTGGGCTGTATTCAGGCCGTTATGGGGCTGGTTTTTTGGGCTGGTTTTCTGGGCCTGTTTTCAGGCCGTTTGGGGGCTGTTTTCAGGCTGTTTTTCGGGCCATTTTCAGGCCGTTTTTGGGCTGTTTTTTGGGCTGTTTTCAGGCCATTTTGGGGCTGTTTTCAGGCTGTTTTTCAGGCCGTTTTTTGGGCTGTTTTTGGCCCTAAAACAGCCAAAAAATGGCCTGAAAATGGCCAAAAAACAGGCATCTGTGTGCCGGCCAGCTGTTCTTTGGGTTTCCGGCACCCCAGCACGCACACATGGACACACATTCCAGTTTGGGCCCTCGGTGCTGAAAGGTTCACCATCACTGCTCTAAGGTGATTCACTTTGCATTGAAAGAGTTTTTCCCCCTTTTATTTATTTGTTTTAAAATATCTGCATGCTGCTCTTTCCAGGACTTTTTGTTGCTTTATTTATTTTGATGGCTAGTAATAGCAATAGCACTTAGATTTATATACTGCCCCATAGTGCTTTAAAGTATTCTCTGAGTAGTTTATAATGTCAGCATTATTGTCCCCCAAAATCTGGATCCTCATTTGCCAACCTCGGAAGGAGTCAATCTCGAGCCGGTCAGGATCGAATTTCTGACAATGAGCAGAGTCAATCGGTGATACTGCATTCTAACTACTGTGCCACCATGGCTCTCCACCACGGTAGGTGGGGGATCATCTGTTCAAACAGGAGCAGTTTGTTGCAGGATTTTTTTATGATAGAGTTACTGATCAATGTTCTATGTTTAGGGCAAGAAGCTTGGCTCCGGAAGCTAAAATGGCCCAAACTGAAAGAATTCAGTACACTGAAGTGGCAACCTTTGTACACCTGCCCAGAATGCACAGAGACGGCTGCTTTTTATAAATCCTATTGTAACCTGAGCTTCTTCTGGATCCTCAAGGCTGGCCACATGGTAAGTCTTTTCCATGTCTTCAGAGCAAGAACAGGACAGTTTCTGTTTTGTATGTCGTAAGAAGGAAAACATTTTATAGACAGCTTTGCATAGCACAAAGACAAAAGAATAGGGCAAGTAGGATGATACCGTATTTTTCGGAGTATAAGACGCACCTTAGTTTTTGAGGAGGAAAATAAGAAAAAAGCTGATTGGAAGGTGGATAATCAGCTGTTCCCAGAGGTGAATTTTAGCAACAGGTTCCTTGGTTGTGAGCTCTGTGCCTTGCTTTTCTTTGTTTTTTTTTCCTGCCTCTGAAAGCCTCTGAAACAGCTTCAGAAAAAAAGCCTCTGAAGCTCTGTTTGGGGACTTCTTTTCTGAAGCTCTGTTTGGAGGCTTCTTTTCTGATGCTTTTTTCAGCCTCTGAAACCTCTGTTTGAGAAGCTGGGCGGAGCTACATTCAGATTTTCACCCTCTTTTTTGGGGGTACGTCTTATACTCCGAAAAATATGGTACATCCCTTCCATGAAAGAGAGAGGCTGCGAATAAAATAAAAATTTTGCAAAAGAGAGAGAGAGAGAGAGAGAGAGAGAGAGGGAGAGGGAGGCTGCCATAAGCAAGGCTTTTTCATTTGATCATAATAACATGGAGATTCTTTTTTCAAACACTTTTTATTAAAGAATTTAACAATGCTAAAAAATCATTTCTTGTCATTTCTAACTAGGTTTTGGCATAAAGTTCATAAAGGTTTTCCAGAATTTTATAGAAATATTTCTTATTTTAACCCCAATCAAAGAAGTCAGTTTAATGTTCCATTCTTTTGTTTCCAACAATCTTGATCTTCAATTCATCAAGTTGCTATCCATGGGGTTGAATCTCTAATTAACCTTCCTTTTTCCCAGTCTCAAAATTCTTCCATGTCATTTTTCATTTCCTGGCTTATCATTTGTGTTTTCACTTTGTCATTCCTGTCTTATAATTAACAATTATTTTATTTTACAACGTTTATACATCAGCTGGAATTTGTTTTGCTTCTCATCCTGACAGTTTATAATTTACTCCATGTTAGTCTCTTCCGTGTCTTTCTTCCTTAGAATCTTCTTCAAAAAATGCATTTGCAGGTGCAGAAATTATTTCTGCCAATTTAGTTTTATGTTTCTCAATTCTTCAAAACAATCCTTTGAAATGTCTCAAGCATCATAACTTTGTCATTTTATAAATTTCACCCCTCTTCTTTCAGTTCAAGAATAGAAGACAGGTTCCCGCTTCCTTCTTTTTACTATTCCTGCCTGGAACATTATTTATTTATTCATTTTTATTTATTTGCAAGTATTTATATGCCGCCCTTCTCCCGAAAGGACTCAGGGTGGCGAACACAGGTAAAAACAAATAAACAGATAAAAAACATACAATAAAAACCCAATTAAAACCAGTTAAAATCGAATGATAATAAATAATAACACCCAAGAATCTAAATCAGCTCATTTGTTGGAATAGCCAAGTCTTCAGGCCCCGACATTAGTCTTCTTTAGGGTCTCATTTCTTTAATCATAGAATTCTTTATTTATTTTCAAATTTCAACCAATCATCTTGGTTGGTTCCTGATAGATTAAACAATTTATGTTTCTGCAAAGAAAATGTTTTTTTTATTTATTTCAAAAATCTTAGCAAAAGGCCTAATATTCCAAATTTGCCTGTTCCCTTTAATTCATTTATAAGTTTCCTCAATTACATTTATTTCATGTTCTTTGAATTCTTTGAGACAATCGCTAGTTTTACCTCTACTTTGGAATGAAGCTTTATTCACCAGACTTGCTTGGAAGATCTTTGTTAACTTTAAAGTCACTATAAATCCAAAAGCGGCTAGTAAGTGAGGTTGGATGAACCCAATGTCCTTAAAGACTCCACTGTGATTACTTGATGGCTTCCCTTATTTCCCAGGGCTCTGACCTGTGGGTCAACCCCTGTCCTGCAATCTCTTCATGAGGAGTTGCTGTCTGGAGCACAAGTGGGTGATCTCTCATCCTCTCCTTATCTGGAGAGGCTCTGTTGACTAAGCTTACTGCCAGCTTGTCAGTCTTGGCTGCATTTTCATTTCTGTTCCATCAGAGACATCTAGTTTGCCCTTCCCTCACCCATAGTTCCCCAACCTTTTCAGCTTTGTGGACTGGCAGGGGAGGGAGGGAGAGGGGATGGTTCTGCGCATGCGCTCACCCACTGCTCACTTGAGTGGGGATGCTCATGTAAGCTCGGCCACCACTTCTGTGCCCCAGTTCCAAAAGGCTCAAGGCCCAGTAGTAGACCACGGCCTGGGGGTTCAGGACCCCTGTCCTAAAAGACTATGGTTAACTGTCTATATTTGAGATAATGGAGTCTAAAAATATTTTGTAGTTTTACCGGAATGGGCATTCCTTTTTTATTTTATTTTTCTTTGGCCTCATTGAACAATGAACAGTAGATAAATAATATTACAAAACCTAAGGAGGGATTTTCTCTACTTTGTAGTCCCCGCACCCTTTACTTTTATGGCTGCTCTTTTATGGCTTTCTGAAAAATCTCCTGCAGTTAGCTAACCGCTAATGCTTTTTTGTTCTCAGGTCCCGGCTGACCAAGGTGACATGGCGCTGAAGATGCTTAGGATGGTCACCCAACAAAAGCAGTGACTAAATTAGAGCCAGCTGGCATGGCTCCTCTACAGAACAAAAGCAGGTTCTTTGGAATCTTTTTGTGGCACCCTGAAAGCATAAGGAACAATGGCACCATTGTGTTTTGATTTTCTCAGATATTATGCAAGGCATTTTAAGGAGACACAGATGGAAATAATTTACTTTCTCCTGTGGTAACTTCTTTTGTAAAATGTGAAGATCTCTTGATCCACTTCTGCTTAGCATAATCCTTAAATGCTGGAAAAGGAAGATGTGAATAAATCAGGGATGGGCATTTTGTAGGCTATGTGTAGCCTCCATGTTGCAGCCTCAGAAGATCTTCCTTTTGTCCTGCAACATCTGGCAAAATTGGTGAGATATTAATAATACCCTTTTGGGGTAGGTTTTGCCAAAAGGAAGTAGAGGTGGACTGATCAGCCTCCCAGAGGCAAAATGCATCCATTTCCAACTTCTAAACACTCCCAAATAGCTCAAAAATGCCTCCTAGCCACGCTCAGGCCCATCCTCTTGGAGACATCATTGTCCTAGCCTCCAAATAGTCTGGGGTAGCTCCAGAGAGGTTTCCCACGCTTGAAGTAATGTTTTCTCAATAACAATATTTCCTTTTGATAGATTTTCATTCTCTTTTATATATATATATCCTATGCATGCATACTTCCACTTGGGGCCTCTTTGTAGATACTTTCTTATCCAGGCCCATGAAAAGGCAATTTTTCTGATTCTTGGCCTCCCAGAGACAAGCATGTGGTCAAGTGTGGGTGAAATTGTCCTGGGAGTGGGAAGCCAGAGCAGGGATGAAATCCAGCAAGTTCTGACAGGTTCTGGAGAACCGGTAGCGGAAATTTTGAGTAGTTCGGAGAACCAGCAAATACCATCTCTGGCTGGCCCCAGAATGGGATGGGAATGGAGATTTTGCAATATCCTTCCCCTGGAGTGGGGAGGGAATGGAGATTTGCAGTATCCTTCCCCTGCCATGCCCACCAAGCCACGCCTACCAAGCCAAGCCACGCCTACCAAGCCATGCCCACAGAACCGGTAGGGAAAAATTTTGGATTTCACCCTTGACCCAGAGTATTTTTCAGCCAAGCACTTTTCTATCTGGTCAGGCCACCCCGGAGGTTGGCCCTGAGCTCATGCCCAAAGCCATCATCCTTTTTTCTACCAGCCATTGCAGCTTGATTGAAAACAAGGAGTTGAATTCAGGTCTTATTTAAATGAGATTTCCTTCCTAGAAAGTATATTCAGGATTGATGGGCAGAAGCCCGACTCCATACAGAGCTAAGGTCTCACTTCTAAAGTAGAAGCAGTTGTTTTCCTTGGCTTCCAAGGAGGAGGAAATATAGGAATAAAAGCAGCAACCTGGAGCAAAGGTTTAGCATCTCCTCATCTTGATCTTTAGATTAATGGATTTATCAAAGCCAAGGATGGTTAAGTATGGCCCCTTTATGACTTGTGGACTTCAACTCCCAGAATTCATGACTGGCTCAGGAATCCTGGGAGTTGAAGTCCAAGGGTTGTAAAGGGGCCATAGTTGTCCATCCCAGTCTAAGCAAAGGTCAAACTATTGGATTGTTTGCCCCAACCCATCTGGTATGGTTCAGATGGGTTGGAATGGTAACTGCTAGGATTCTGAAACTGCTTGGTCAGCACAACTGGATGGTAAATTGAGAAATATGGATCTAACGCAGTGATGGCTAACCTTTTTGCCATCGCGTGCCAAAAGTGGGGGGAGTGCAGGGGGGTTGCACGTGCACGTGCCCACACCAGGGGTGGGTTCTAAATTTTTTTACTACCGATTATGTGGGCGTGGCTTATTTTGTGGGTGTGGCTTGATGGTCATGTGACAGTTATTTAGGATTTAGTAGAGGTACTGGTCTACCAGGCTTTTAATTGCTTGCAGAGCTGTACCAATCTACCCATTTATTTTTTGCAGGCACTGGTCTACTCATGTATTTTTGCAGGCACTGGTCTACTCATGTATTTTTGCAGGCGCTGGTCTACTCATTTGTTTTCTTTTAACACTGATCAGCTGTAGGGCGGCCCTTTGAAGCCCGCGGCAAGAGTTTAAACAGTTTTTTCCCTCTAGCCATCAGCTGGGATTCAGGAGGCAGCAATAGATTGGGGGTGGGGCCAAATAAAAGGTAAGAATAATGTGGGGGGGGGCAGAACTGGTTTGGTGAGGTCATATCGTCACCGCTACCGGCTCGGGAGAACTGGGCCGAACCGGGAGGAACACACCACTAGCCCACACCCATAATTCTATGTGCCCCACCTCCCACACGTGTGTGTGACCCTTCTGCGCTTCCCCCGCTTTTGGCATGCGATGGCACAGTGGGCCGGGTAGGCCCGTTTTTCACCCTACTCAGGCTCCAGAGCCTTTCTAGGAGCCTGGGGAAGGCGAAAACGGCCTTTCCCCCCCCGGAGGCCGTCTGAAGGCCAGAAACAGCATGTTTGCCGACTTCCAGGGGGCCCAGAAGACCCGAAAATCAGCTGGCCGTCGCGTGCATGTGCACCGGAGCTGAGCTCGTGTGCCCACCAATATGGCTCTGCGTGCCACAGGTTCGCCATCACGGATCTAAAGTGATCCTCTCTGTTCTTTTTTGACAAGAACAATTTCTATGATTTAGGGGGGCATAATTACCTAACCTTTTAAGCGACTTGCCAGTTTGGGATAGCTAGTCTGTTGTTAAAAATCCAACATAGTTGTTTTGTTTTGTATTTCTTTCTTTTGACTCATATTTAAGTTCTCTGTTCAGGTGAATAACCAACTGAGGGGGCTTTGCAGAGCATTTGTTTCCTTTGCATTGTTTACACACTTAACGATAAAATGAAGTAAAATGCTGAGTCAGGAAGTACCAAAGCCTATGTGTGGATAATAATTATAAAATGCCATGAGGTAGATACCGTAGATAGACATGTCTGCCTCTAATGCTGAGAAAAAACAAATACACAAAACTAGTTCAAAATTATCCTCCTGGCTGTCCCACTTGCTCATTCTGTGTGGGAAGTCACCACAGAGGCTTCTCACATTGGTACTGAATGTGTCTTAAATGTCTCTTAAACCGTGAAGTTTGTAGGGAAAGCACTATGTCTTCCTTAAAGTTGCCAACTGTTGGAAATGAAATTGACATTCTTTATACACAGTTCAATGCTTGTCTAACAGAGAAGTTCATTCCATGGTGGTGAAATTGCCTTTGTCTTATGTGTCTTATGTATATGTATCTGAAATCTGAAAGCCAAAGATGTGGCCTTAATAAAGATTGATTTCCCTCATATCTTATCAGCAGCTCTGCAAATGTATCTGGGTGATGGAGCAGAGATATTTTAAAAAAGGACTGTGTAGTGTTTTCTCCCCCGCCTCCCGCTTCCACCCCAGTTGAGGGCTGTGGCAGAAATTTAAGCTTCTCTGCCTCAACCTCTCTTCCCATGAATGTAGCGCACAGCTCTTTTCTTTTAATCTTGCCTGGGCTTGCAAGTTAAGAAGACTGTTTTTTTTTTTTTTTCCTATGATCACTCCTAAAGTGCAATAAACTATTAGGCCACTTGGTGGGGGAAGAGATCTTTAAATAGCCCGTGCCTGGAATACCACTGATCTGCCTAGCTCCAATATTGTCATTTTGGCTTATGTACATGATTTATTGAATGAAATACAATTGGCTGGAGTTTGCACAACATACTAAGACGGGGTGGCCAACCTTGATAACTTTAAGACCTGTGGACTTCAACTGCCAGAATTCCCTAGCCAGTCATGTTGGCTGAGGAATTCTGGGAATTAACATCCACAACTGGTGGAACTCCTGAGTTGGTAATGCCAGACATTGACACCTGAGTTCATTCAGAGTAGGGGCTATACCAGGGGTCAGCAACCTGTGGCTCTGGAGCCGCATGTGTCTCTTTCATCCCTGTACTGCTGCTCCCTGTTGCCCATCAGCTCCACAATTGATAAGGCTTTCAGTTAGGATAGGTAGAGGAAAAAGGAAGCCGTGCTAGGAAGAGACACTGGTGGGGGGAACCGGATTTACGGTTGGCTTCAGAATTGAACGGGGGGCTTCCAGTTAGGGCATTTGTGGCTTTTTTGAGTGTTTAAGGTTGCCTACTCCTGGGCCATACCAATAAGCTGCAGCCTGAACTGGATTAAGAAAGCTGTGGGCTGCTTCATGAATTAATCCCCCCCCATCCCTCCCAGGGGAAGGCACAAATGTGTGAGGACACTCCTCAACTTCACAAGATGGTGGTTGTGAGGCAAATAGGAGGAGGAAGGCATAGTAGGTATAGTTGCCACCTTGAGTTATTTATAAAAAAGAATGAAGGTGGGATATAAATAAAAATAAATGAAGTCACTAAGTGTTGTGACATGGGTTTTGAACCTGTTTCTCCTTGCCTGCTGCAATGGAATGAAATCAGGAGTTGGTACAAAGAGTGAAAGTAAGGTGAGAGGTTCTGAGGCCGTACCTTGATATGAGCTCAGTGCTCTTAATAGAGATCTTAGAATCTCTATTGGCCAAGCATTTGTTTTGAAATACCTGAAGCAAAAGACCTTCTTTGTCTAGAGTTGCCCTACGAAGTCCCTGCTGTAATATTGCCCCAAGTCGTTCTTTCAACTATTGCTCCAGACGGAGGAACGTGAAACATGTACAAAACATCATCCCACAGAGGATCTGAAGGCACAAAGCTGGTCTTCAAACAGTGGGATTCCACAGCTCTTTAATGAGACAACCAAAACTGAAGAAAGGCAAGCATACAAATCAATCGTAGCAGCATTTGCCCCTTCTGCTGAGTCTATGGCTTTCAGTCAAAGGAATTGATGTCCTGTTCCGGAGGCTTGGCCAGTTCCTAGTGTGCTTAATTATCCTGCAAATAGGAAGGCTCAGCTGTTCTCTCTCTATTGCTTGCACACACTGCAAGGGGAAATAACCACTGTCAGTTCATGGCAGGCTGTGTGACTTTTTAGCTTGAGGCCTATAGCTAATGATGTGAATGCTGCTTTCTAATTATCATAAACAATACAAAGCTATAAAACCATTGCATTCAACCTGTATAGATTGGCTTCACACCATGCTAAGCCAAATCATTAAACCAAACCTTAGTACAGTGTGTGAACTCAGGTATTCCTTGACCCTTCAATTTTAGTAGCTCTGATTATGTACTGCTCTACTCTTTAGTTGTCATCTCTCCCCTTACCACCACCACCACCCCCAAATTCCTCCCTGACTTGTTCACTTTCAAACTTTTAAAAATGACCTGTGGGACTCAAGCAAGGTTGCCAGCTGTTGAATGTGGCATTGAAACTTTTGACTTTTTATTTTAGAGCAATTTAATGCTTGGATGTTAACAAAGAATCATGCTCATCTCCACTGTGTAAAGTCTCTTTTTGCTGGTTTCTGAATACCAATCTGAAGGTCATAGAGAAGCAAGATTGGTCCTTTATAGTGAACAGTTGTCTTGTCTTTTCAATCTTTCCAGCCTACACTCTGACTACAGAACAGTGTATTCTATTATTGCCAATGGCTGTATCTCAGATGATCTACGATCACTACAGTGATTGTAGTTCAGGGAAGGAAGGCATACCTGCTTACAAGGTCTGAAGGCAGAGATGGAAAATGTCAAAATCCCAGAGGAGCTGGTAGAACACAATCTAAGATTTCATACCTGGGAAAGGCAAATTCTGGGAATGAATTACAACATCATCTAGGAAATAGTTGCTTGATCTGAGGAAGGGACATATGATGGCACATGTGTCTACGTAAATACTAAGAGCCAAGCTTGACTTAACCCCTACTCTCTCTCTCCTCCAATCATCCAAATTGCTTGGAGGAAAAGACCTTTTGTCCAAGACAAAACTCATTGAAAAAAGTAGTGTACAACCCAAGATAGGCCTTTAAACTAAATAAAGAAACTGAGAACTGGAAGGAAGAAAAGTTGACTTCCATTATGCGACATGGCCTTTTTGTCCCACCCACTGCAGTCCTAACCCTCCCCCAAAATACGAAATGTAACTTCTTGCCACCCAAGCTTCTCTATCCGGTTACCTTCCCTAACTCATGTCCTTATGAAAGTCCTTGGGTCCAGATATTTGGTAGGTTCTGTAATTAGGCTCACAAGAAGAACCACATTTGTGTTTTCCTGTCGTGTGTTAAGAGAACCCCTGGCCTGCAAAAGCAAAGACATTCTTCCTGCACATCGGAAAGGAATCCAGACAACAAACTCAGAGTTTTGTGTTTTCTGCCTCAGCAATTGTGGCATGCCAGCTTTGTAATTACTCAATTGGGAAACCTCTGATGGAAAGGCATCAACCCCAGGAGAATGTACCAAGCAAAACTGAGCTGAAAGTGGATTAGCTGCAAAAAGTCTCTTTCCTGAGTGCTGACCTTTAACAAGTTGAAAATGACAGCTTGTCAGAAGTGATATTTCAAGAGTTACAGCATATTTTAAATAATCTACAATCTTTGTCCCTAAAGCCTGTGATCAAAACAGGCAGAAGTGATACTAACAATGGAAGGCAGCTTGTGTTCCATTTTCGTTTTGTCTACAACTCTCTAAAGCAGCGATGTCTCTTTCTGAGAAGCAGAATCCCAGGGAAACAAAACAGGGAACCTTAAAGAATGAAGATAGATTGGCTTCTGGGTGCCCCAACACAGCTTCTCCTTTTTCTTTTTTTCCTCAAAGCATGTGATGCTGGAAAATACTGTTTTAATGCAGATACAATTAATACAGGTACAATTTAATACAGGTACAATTAAGAACAGGTACAATTAAGAAGACGCTGAGCTTGTTGATCGAAAGGTCAGCAGTTCAGCGGTTCGAATCCCTAGTGCCGCGTAACGGGGTGAGCTCCTGTTACTTGTCCCAGCTTCTGCCAACCTAGCAGTTCAAAAGCACATAAAAAATGCAAGTAGAAAAATAGGGACCACCTTTGGTGGGAAGGTAACAGCGTTCCGTGTGCCTTTGGCATTGTCATGCTGGCCACATGACCACAGAGACGTCTTCGGACACCGCTGGCTCTTCGGCTTTGAAACGGAGATGAGCACTGCTCCCTAGAGTTGGGAATGACTAGCACATATGTGGGAGGGGAACCTTTACCTTTACCTAATGTCTTCCTACTCTTGGGGTGTAGGTGAGAAGAGGGTATCATGATAAGAGCACAACAAATGATCCAGGCCATATTGACACCATGGTTGGGGTTCAAATGGAGACACACCATGAATTTTAGAGCCCATTTGGAAATAGCTGGTTCCCATGCAACCTGCAACTTATCTCTTTATGGCCCAGACAAATGATCTGCTCAAAACCTTATTTAAGTCAACATTATTTATGTGGAAAAAAAACCTTGCAAAATAAACCAGGTTCAGTGCTTACAACATATTAGTAATTGTTAACATTTTTTAAGCCAGACAGAAAGAGAGATTGAATTCAAAGACCTCTCTAGCTTTTCATCTTGTCTTTTCAATTGGCATTCTTCAGATGCATTGGAAATGCAACTCCCACAACTGGAGTTGCAAAGCAGCTGGAAGGAAGCCTGTTGGGAAAAGCAGCACAAACCAAAACAAAGAACTAGCCACAAGCGGTCATGTTTTCTGAACAAAGCAAAACATTTTAAACTAGAGAGGAACTCTTATTTGGCTATGACTCAAATCCTTTTGGTTCATACATTGCACCAAGCCCTGGTTTCCACTGTTTTTTGAATAAGCCATAATTGGTTGTATTCCTACATTGTGCCAAGCCAAGAACTAAAATTTTCAAATTACAATATCTGATTCATGGAACACTTGGATAAAATTGAGCAACTACATTACAACTTATTACAAACTCAGCCAGGGTCTCCCATTGGGTCACTTTTAATGTTGTTCTCAATAGGGTTTATCTGAATTACGTTTCTTTTCTGGAAACTTCATTGACAAATGTGCTGTCATTAAAAATTGCCCCCTATTCATTTTTTCAGAGGATTTGTGGACTGAAGAGTTCATAACTTTTAAGGGGGAAAAGTGATAAAATAGAGCACTAATTCTTTGTTGACATACAGATCTCCCTATAGCTTTTTTTAGCTGGTATTATTTCACTGAAGTCATGTTACTTTTCCTAAAGGCATCATTTGTTATAAATCCTATATTTTCCCTAATCTTTTGAATAAAAAAAGGCAATACACTTAAAAGATTTTTCTTTGAGTTTCCAGGGCTCCTTGTATGTGAACATTTATGAGAAGTTTTAGAATTTGCCATCTTGAGGTTAGCCAATGCATTATGTCATGTTGAGCCTGCTTTCAATTATCCCACCTGGC